TCAAACAACCTTAGGAACACAACAATTCTTCCACGGATTTGCCCAATTCTTTCCCTAGCCCCCAAAGCCATTTAAACTAGCAGCAACCTCCATGTTTAGAAATTATAAACAAATGAAGGCTGAAAAATGTGTTCTGTGTCGGTCAGCAAGTACATTCCCCCCCATCCACTGATGAACCCGGAGCCTGAATTGCGCAAGGGTGTGTGCATGTGGGGGGGTGTCCCTCCCATCCCTACCAACTATCCCGTGGTTCTGTGGGCCGTTTTGGTCCTGATCATAAAACCATAGAGTTGGAAGCGTCCAGGGCGGCTCTGGGGTTGGCAACCTCCTGCCAATGCCATCAGCATCCATGACAGGTGTCCATCCAACCTCTGCTTAACAATCTCTAAGGAAGAAGAGTTCCCCAGCTTCCTAGGGAGTGATGGTAAAGATAGGATAGGCCAGGAAGCACCGCTTTTACACTTATACACACAGAGAGAGGAATACATCCACAGTCTCTACTTATTTAACATCTAGAGCAGTTCCACAGCTGCTCTCAGAGCTGGGCAGCCCTTCTTTCACAGCCGGAGGGCTGGTGGGGAGCCTTCTTCCCCTCAAGATGTTTACCCAGCAGCAGCATCCCTCGGCTCAGACAGCAGCCCTTCCTGTCCACCCAGCTCCTGGCTCCTCTGTGCCAGCTGAAGTGCTTAATTGCACCATGGACTCACCTATCATTACAAGAGGCTCAAAAGCAAATAAACAAGGCTCCGGCTGCGGAAGCAAACAGAGCTGGTCAGGTTCCAACACGCCTCAGTGGCTCACCGGGAGCCAGTGGCCTTTGGGTCTTTGGGGAAGGAGGACTCTGGCATGTAAACACCTTCCTTCTCCTCCTCCTCCTCCTCTTGCTGCAGTGGATGCCCATGGATGGCTTTCCCCTCGAACATGCCCACGGCAACACAAGATGTCACTGTCGACATGTTGACATTAAGGTGGAATGGAAATCTCAACATCCACATCTTTCCATTGAGGCCAGTGAGGATGATGATGCAACTCTGATTCCACATGGGAAACGGCAGAGGCCTTAGGAGGGAGATTTCCATACCCTTCAAGTTGTTCACCTTTCACAAGGACAGCCCCCTCTTTTCTAGTCCTAGGCATATTGCCGCCTCTTGCGCTGCCTTGTTAAAACTGGGAGCCAGTGTGGTGTAGTGGTTCAAGTGTTGGGCCAGGACCTGGGAGAGAGCAGGGTTCAAATCTCCCCCACTTGGGCATGAAGCTCATTGGGTGAGCCTGGGGGCCACCACCTCTCAGCCTACTCTACCTCACAGTGTTGTTGGGGGACATTAAATGAGGAGGGGGAAGAACCACAGATGCCACCATAAATGCAAGTGCACAACCAACAACACCCTCCGCAGGGGCTGGGGAGCTGAAGTCTAAGCTGGGCAACTGGCAACAGGCTGTGGGACGCTCTGTTTTTCTGCGACCTCAGCTGTCCCTTCTGCATCATGGCCGTTGTTTTTGTAACAAAAATTATGCAAGGTGTGTTAAGGGACTGGAATGGGAGCAGAAGTGACTTCTGTGGTGAGCAACGGATGGGATGTTCGGAACCTCTAATGTTTTTCCATTGCATAACACTCAGCAGACAAAACCAAGGATGCTAATAGCCACCTATTCCACATACCCTGAATTTCACTGGTGAAAATCAAAGCATCCTTTGCTCACCTCTTCACACAATTTAAGGAAGCTTCAAAGGATACAGGCCCTCACAATCGAAGCACCTGCACTTACTCTGCAAAACAGCCATAATTGGAGAGAGGCAGTCCTTGAGATATTGCGATCCTAAGCCAGTTAAGGCTTTATATGTCAAAACCAGCACTTTGAATTGGACCTGGAAACTAATTGGCCGGCAATGCAGTCGGGCCAGGATTGACGTTATATGCTCAAACCGCCTTGCCCCAGTTGCCTCACACAGCACAATTAAAAAAAAATTCTCAGCAGGGAGATAAAACAGTGGCAAATGTTTAATTTCTACCTGTTGGGCTGCTAAAGCACAACAGCAGAACCAGTGCAGAAAAGTGGGCAACCTTACAGTTTTTCTTCTGAGTCCTGCTGTTTCTTTTTTTTTTTTTTTTTTGAAAAAGTAACACCACAGAAATAATTTGTAGACTCTTGTAATTTAACAGGAGGGACTAGACTAGGCTAAGCCCTCCCCTTTCCACTCCCAGTCCTTGAGATCACACTCTCAGCTCAGCACGAACTGGTCCAAAACAACCACACCTGCATGTGAACACACCCAAACACAGTGGATTCTGCACTCACCCCCAGTAACACAGACCGGGTTTGCCCTCTTGGCCATTCATTGCAAAATTACGTCCGCCCTTCCTAACCACCCTAGAAGGAAGCTTCACTGGGGATGGGAAGTGGTTACTCACAACATTTCAAAATCTCTCGTGCCAAATGAAAAATCTCAAGGCAGCACACAGACAGCTGTCAACAAACTGCAATCAAACACATTCATATTCAAGCACTGGAGAGGAGCAACTGAAACCTGCATGAAGGTTAGAAGCAGCCAGAGAGAAAGGAAGCCTCGTTCTCCCATGGCCTGGAGCAACATATGCTCTTCATACCCGCCCAGCAGCTGTGCCAGCCCTGCTCAGGCACAGTTCACCCTCATTGCTAAAAGCCAGAATACCCACCAGAGATCACCCAGGCCCTTCTTGGAGTGGGCAGAAAGCAAGGCAGAAGCACCGCCGTTGCCTCCGAGGCTGCCACGTGGCCTCTCCTCACTCCCTCTGAGGTGGGCAGAGAGGCAAAGGGGTCTGGCGCTGCTGACCAGGCGCCAGGTGCCTACCTCGCAGGTGGGCTAGAGCCACGAAGGGAGGCAGAGGCCCTCCCGCTGGCTGCTCTGCCTCTCCTTTCTGCGGGGAGCATCTCTCCTTGGCTGGGAGTGAGCTAGGGACACTCACACAAGATTTCATTGTCCTCCCTAAATCACTTCGTCATTGGATTAAGCATTCGTCAGGACCTTTGCCAGAAAGCAGCCAATTCAAATTATGCTCATAGCGCCAGATGCCCAATTGATCTTGGCTGCCCAGAGGCAGGCACTGCTTGCTTGCTTCCTCCCTCCCTCCCTCCCTCCCTCCCTCCTCCCTCCCTCCCTCCCTGGAAACAAAAGCAAGGCTTTCAGGGCAGGCTTGGCTTGAGGAAGCAAAGCCCTCAGGTTGCCCAGCCAGGGGTTGCAGCGGACATCAGCCCCTCCCTGCCTTCTCTTGGCAGCCCAGCTGAGCACCTGCTGCAACCAGGAAACAGGCTGCAGAGGAAGGAACTTGGATGCCATCCCTGCTCCCCTGGCAGGATTCCCATGCCTTCAACAGTGGCACAGTAGGAGGGAAATCCACAGGTGAGACCTTGCTCATTTCTGTGCAGAATGTGCTTTGTCTGTTGAATTTCTGCAGGAGCAGTAAGCATGAAAAGCATGGGAGGTCTGCCAAGGAAAAATAAGAAGCAGCCTCCTCTGAAACAAGGAGGTGTGGTTTTCCCCAAAGACGGTAAAGTGGTCCAGGAAACAAGGAGATAGCAGGGCAGAAGCTGCCCGATTCCCAAGATGCACTGCAGGATGCAGTGTCTGGGGAGAGGGGAGGGAGATGCTTTCAGAAGCAGGTGGGGGGGGGTTGGTGTTCGTTATCAACCCCCAACTACTCTCTGAGTCCCTGCAGGGACTGCAGTCTATTCCCCTGTACCCAGACAAAACTTACAATCCCCGTGGGAAGAAAATCCCCCCCCTGCCCTGCCCTTCTCGCAGCAGCAGCAGCAGCAAGACTGCACCTTTCTCTTGGCTTCTGCTGCTCCTGTGGAGGAGAGGGCAACCCATATCCTGTCAGATATAAGGAACTTCCAGGTCCAAATGCAGTCCAGCTTTGAATGCCAGCAACTGGCAGGGCAAACGGGGAGGAGGGCAGCTGCCCCCATGCACAGCTGGTCGGCTTCCCCCAAAACTGCACTGACTTCTGCATCTGCTGGCAGAACTGTGGCCTCCGTCCACCCTTGGAGTTGGGTTGCACCTCCATTAGGAGAAGCTACCAGCCACCAGGGGCCATTGGGGAGAACAATTCTCTAATGATTAGCAGGCGCTGAGAAGGCAACAGTTAGTCATTGCAGGCCATTAGCAAGCAAGGAAGGAAGACACAGTCACTGAGCAGCCATCACAACATTTCCTTTTGCTATCCAAGATCCCCTTAACCAGGGGTCAGCAACCTTTTTCAGCCGTGGGCTGGTCCAACATCCCTCAGACCATGTGGTGGGCCGGACTATATTTTGGGAAAAAAAAAATGAACAAGTTCCTATGCCCCACAAATAACTGAGAGATGCATTTTAAATAAAAGCACACATTCTGTGGGTGGCAGTGGAGGACAGGAGTGCCTGGCGTGCTCTGGTCCATGGGGTCACGAAAAGTCGGACACGACTAAACGGCTAAACAAAAACAACAAAAACACCAGGCAGGCCCCACAAATAACCCAGAGATGCATTTTAAATAAAAGCACACATTCTACGCATGTAAAAACATGCTGATTCCTGGACTGTCCATGGGCTGGATTGAGAAGACAACTGGGCCGCATCCGGCCCCCCTGGCCTTAGGTTGCCTACCCCTGCCCTTAACTAACCTGCTGTGCATCAGTTAAGATTTCCCCTCACTTACTCCAGGCACCTCCCAACAGGGCTAGGAGAGGCTCCGACCTGAAACCCTGGAGAGCTGCTGCCAGTCAGAGTGGACAGTACTGAGCAAGGTGGTCTGACTCACCATAAAGGCAGCTTCCTATGTACTGTTATCAAAAACACAGGCAATCCCAATTTGTTTCTACATCAGTACTGCAATTGATCTATGCCTTTAGTTGACTGATCTGCTGGTTGACTGAACTTCAGGTTTCTTTTGAGGGGGTAGGGGTTTCAAAATTTGGAAGGGTAGGTGGTGGTAGTGATGCGGGACCCTCTCAGCACACCACACCCCCTCCCCGGCTGCTTACCTTGCTCTCGGCTGGAGGAGCTGTGGGGGTCGTGGGCTGCTGCTTGGAGATGCTGTCGGCCAGGCACCAGCAGACTCTCTTCTTCTGCTCCTGGGAGTGAGCCTCCAAGCTGAGCACGCACTCCAGCTTCTAGGGACACAGAAGGACACCTGCCCTTAGCCAGACCCTGGAGCCAAGCCCTGGGCCCATAAGCCGGCCTCCTTCTCCGAAGGCAACATCCGCATCGTGGGCCCTCCGAGCAAAGGAGCCCTCATGGCGGCTTAAGCCCAGCACACCTGAGAGACACAGAGGCTGCTCATGCCTCCATCCGAGGAGGTCCCTGTGCTCTGGCAACAGTGGCAGCAAGAGAAGAGGCACGCCCAAGGGCTGCCCCCCAGCAGTGCAGCTCCCCTCCCACGGGAGACTTGCTAAAATCCAAGACTGAAGACCTTGCTGAGGCCCTCCTGTTGCTCTTGCCTGGGCTGCCCCGGCAGGAATGGGAGATGGAAGTGTGGTGAACCAGGCCGACTTCTCACTCTGCTCACCGGTTACCTGGCTGAACAATCACGATGGGCCAGGCTGTCAAGCGACCCTCCACAGGGACGGACCCACCCACAGAGCTTTCTTCATGTTTTACAGCCCCTTTTCCCCTTGACGGCAAGGCAGACGTCACTGCTGCCACCCGTCTTTCAGCTAAAAGGCTCCTTGGCTAGGAAACTGACTGGCAGGGATTTATCATCCACTTACAAGGTTGCCCTCAGCGCCACAGGGGCTGCTGAGACAAAGCGCCACGGCAGCCTGTCGCCAGGCGGGCACAGTTTAATCGTATCATAGCTGGGGGGGGTTGTGCCTATGTGCTTTACCGACACTTCATCTTGCTACCCTTTTAGCAGGATGTGCAAGCTCTGATGGGCAGAATGTTGCGGTGACAAGTAGTTCACTCATTTATTTAGGGACCCCACATCCCGACAAGTCCCAAAAGTCTTCTGCAGCACCCAGGTGTCTCCTTTGCCTTGAACGCCTTTGCTCCTCTGACTTGCAGCAGCTGCACAGGAAGTTTAAAAGGAGCCCTATGGGGCGCCAGAACACTTGCCACAAGGGTGGCAGCAGGAGGAATAAAGGGTCATTTGGCAGGAAGACCATGGCCTGGCTTTGCCCCCTCCCCCCCAATCCTTGCTTTTTCAAAACTGGGATCGCTTCTAACTTTCTGCAGCCACAACACGCCCAGCATGGAGGGCTGTCTGAATTGGCCCAAGCCTCGCCATGGAGGGCAGACTGCCCAGAGCACACCTCCCTGCCCTCCTGCAGGAGCAGAATGCCCAGAGGGGCATCGCAAGGTTCTCTCTGTGTCATGAGACACAGATGTTGTTGTTGTTGCTGCTGCTGCCGCCAACTCAACAAAGTTACAGCTCTGTGTGCAGCAACACAGACTTCTTTTTAGCCTGACCCATGGCATTAGTCTTTAAATCCAGACCAAAGCTTACCTGACAGACAGAACAGCACCTAGTCCTGAGAGGATAAGCCCCTGCGCTCTAGAGCCGTGCGGGCGGAGCATGAGGCAGAAACGGCGCCATGAAGGATTGCAAGAGAGGAGCCTCCTCTATGTGGAAGGGACATGTGCGTGCTCAGCCAGCTCTGCCCTCTCCACGCTTGTGTCTCTCAGAGAAGGAGAGGGTGAATTACGGGAAATCAGTTCAGGCTAACTAGGCATAATGCCGGCTGGGCAGGGGGCAGGATTGGCTGTGCTGCTGTTGCAGCGAATGAATACACTATTTGCGCAGCTCACCACCAGAATGTGCCCCAAGAGGCATCTGAAAAGACGTTTGCAAGTGCTCTCCATCAAGAGCAATTCAGGAGCCCATCTCCTAATCCCACAGCTAATGGGATTAACGGCTTGCAACTCAATTCGATCAGGGCTGGGCGGGAGATGGGAACGCTGTGCAAACACTGCTAGCCACATGGGGTGGCGAGATGGTTCTGCGGTGCTTTTTCCATACATGGGTGTACACAACCCTCCCCCTCCACACAAACCCCGGAGGGCAGGAGGTTCTGTGACCAACAGACAGCACTTGGCACTGGGGCTGAAACTCTCTCTCTCTCTCTCTCTCTCTCTCTCTCTCACACACACACACACAGCATGTTTAGATTTTGCCTTTGCCAAATTTATTCCAGGTGAGGCTCACATTTCTCCCTCTGAATTAAAATGGAGGGAGGTGCCCAAGAAAGGGTACGAGGGCAACAGTGACACCCGTCCCTTCCTATGCCCTTAAGCATTTCGGTGTCTCATTTGCCCAGTGTTAGGATCATTCCCTGCATTTCCACATCAGTTTCTGACATTAAAAGGGGAGTGGGGAGCCCTGCTGAAAATTAATCACCATTTTTGTGTGAATTTTTCCACATTCACACATCTCTGCATGCAAGTTTGCCTAACAGACACACTTTTGCAAAATAATTCCCCTTATTTTTGTATCTGATGTTTGCTTTAATACACATGTATGTTTGTATACATCCCTTGACTGGAGAACGGCATTGCAAAAGTGGAAGAAGAGGGAGTTGGGAAGGGTAGCTGAGTTTCCATTCATCCATTGCTCTGGAAAGTGTGGATTAGGCTACGTTTCCCTTTAAATCCCCTTTAAAAGGTGGGGGGGGGGGAATTCCTTCCAGTAGCACCTTAAAGACCAACTAAGTTAGTTCTTGGTATGAGCTTTCTTCAGATACCAAGTGTGCATGCACACGAAAGCTCATACCAAGAACTAACTTAGTTGGTCTTTAAGGTGCTACTGGAAGGATTTTTTTTTTTTGACTATGGCAGACCAACACGGCTACCTATCTGTAACTTTAAAAGGTGATTAGACTTTCTCCCTTCTCCTTCATTTCCAGGGACTTCTGACGGAAGAAAGAAATCCGAAAACAGAGGCTCATCCAGAGACACAACAGGCTACCTCTTCCAAGGGAGAGAGAATGCTGATCCACACTTCCGTTTGCCCCCTGTGTAGGAAGCCTGGGTCCCAATGCTTTCCAGCCATGGGTCCAAGCGGTTTTGGCTTTGCTCTGTCGTTTCCCCCTGGAAAGCCCACTTTTTAGAGCTAAATTGGTGCAAACATATATCCAGAGAAAACCCAACTGACGTTTGCTTCAATTCAGTGGTAAAATGAGGTTTTCCCAGAAGAAGTTTCCCCAGCCAGCTCACCTTCTGCCCCACCCCCACCCCCACCCCCCCCGCTTGGTTTTCTAGAGGGCCAGTTCTGCCCCAAACAGGTGGAAGTGCTTCAGGCGCTTCAAGTAAAGGAAGCATTTGGCAAGCGATTACAGAACACAGTGTGGTTGTGCTCTGTCCAATGCTCACCTCGGCCAGGTAGAGGATGCAGAACTTCAAGTCCTCTGAAGAAGCTGCAAGTGAAGCAGATCAGAAGAATTTAGCTTTCCCTTGACTCTGAAGTGGCTCCCACAAGCAAAATGCTTTTTTCTTCCTGGCAACTGAACAACTGGGTTTCGCTTCCTATCTGCTTTTGTTTGCTTTCAGCAGAAAGGAAAGAGATGGAGAGTTTCTCAGCCCTCAGAAGCAAAGCTCCCACATATGCAGAGACAAAGAAGCTGCCTCAGGCAGCATCACAGGAGCTTGGCTCCGGCACCTCTCAGGTGGGCACCGTTGCCATTCTAAGAGAATAAAGGAGAAGTTCACGATGAGCTCCAGCACTGGGCATGACAGGCAGAGAGAATTCACACAGCCTCCTAATACTTGGTTTAGCAGATCAGTGCTAAGTCCCGGAGTGACAAAAGGAATTCCTTCTACGCTCAACTCAGTCCTGCAATTGGTGGCCACAGCCCTTGATCACAGGGTGGGGTGGGGCTTTAAGGGAAAGAGCTGGGTGAATACAGGGTGGCAGAGGAGAGGTCTGTCCATGGTTGTGGGCCATGACAGCCGCTTGCAGGGAGACAGATCTAGGTGAAACCTCACTGGATGACACAGTCCTTACCTTATCTCTCACCCTAAACATGTTGAAATAATATTTGGGGTGGGAGGGGGAGAGAAATCATGTACACTGCCTTGAGGTCCGTGAAGGAAGGCAAGATTTAAAGCAAAACGTAAATATATAAAAATAAATGGAGCCTGCATGTACTTAGGCAGTATACTTTGAACACCGGTTGCAGTAAGCAGGGGTCAGCAACCTTTTTCAGCCGTGGGCCAATCCACCGTCCCTCAGACCATGTGGTGGGCTGGACTATATTTTGAAAAAATAATAATGAATGAATTCCTATGCCCCACAAATAACCCAGAGATGCATTTTAAATAAAAGGACACATTCTACTCATGTAAAAACACGCTGATTCCTGGACCGTCCAGGGGCCGGATTGAGAAGGCGATTGGGCTGCATCCGGCCCCCGGGCCTTAGGTTGCCTACCCCTGCTGTAAAGCAATCAGGAGAGGGCTGCATATCTTTGCTCTCAGCCCACTTCCTGGAGGAGCAGAGGTGCCCTGGCACCTGCAGGTGTCGTGTCCTTTCTTAACCCCCTGCTGCCACAACTCACCTTCTTGCACTCTGACATCCTTCAGGTAGAGGGGGTTTCGGAGGACATTGCACCGTCCCGGCTCATCCTCCTTGGTGAAGAGCAGCAAGTCTGAGTAGATGAAGAGAGTCACCTGGCCAAGGTGGGAAGAGGACAGGGAGGTCACTTGAGGCACGCAGGGCCACCCAGCTTTGGTGGAAGTGGCAAAAGGTGGGAGAATAAGCCAGGCCTAACACTGGACTGAGCTGAGCCCAACTCCCGGGTGGGGGTGCAGATCAACATCAGATTGATCAGCTGAGGGCAGGGATGGACAAGGACACCTTCTGCACAGGACAGCCAGGAGGGGGTGCTGTGTGTGGCATCACCCACTACTGGCATGCAACTCTCAGGAGATTGGTAAAAAAAAAGAGCTTGCTTGCCCCCTGTTTTATATAAACCAAATTCTTGCTAAGTTCTTGTTTCAACACTACAGTGGATGGGCAAGCCAAAGAGCAATTACTTTTAATAGAACTAGGAAGAGCATTTGCCTATCAACTCCCCGTGTGAGTTGTTAAGCTGATCGACTGATTGATCCGTCTGACGGCCAGCGTAGGAAGGAGGATGCCAGGCTAGGTTTGGGGGATCTTCTGAGGCTTAGCCTCCAACTATCTGTCCCTGAACGTGCAGCCTCCGCTTAACATCCCAGAGGTTCCTTCCCACTGCCCCGATGGCATTGCCAGGAGGTTGCCAACACAAGAGCCCCCTGGACTCTCCTTCTCTCATCAGAGATGGTAGGGTGCCAGGCCAAGGAGCCAAGAGCACAAGGGCCTCCTGTAGCACACAGCAGCGGAAACCCAGGACCAAGATCTCAGCAGATTGTGACTACAGGAACCACCGTCAAGTCTAGACAGGATGTGGCTCAAGCCAGAATCAGGATTCCGCGGAAGGACTGGCTTTGGCATAGCTCCCTCCATGGCCACCCGCCATCTTCTCCCCGCTCTTAAAGAAAAGAATCCTTTGGTGGCATCTTCAGCTCATTTACTTTTACCCATTTTCTGAGCAAAGCCCTGGAAGCACCTGAAGGCCATCATGCCAGAAGCACCACCCCAGTTTTCCCTCTAGGGACATACAACGTACAGTACATCACAGACAAATTCAGGAACAATACCAAAGCCATCATCATTTCCCTCTGGGAGAGAAGACACCAGCTGAAGCCCCCAGCCTGCACCAGAGGCAAAAGCAGGCAGAAGGCAAGTGGCCCAAAGGGAGAAGAACCACACCCCACTTCCATGAAAGGCCTGTTTCCTGCCCCGGCTCCCCACTTGCAGCAGGGCCTCCTACTCCTCCTCGGAAGAGAGGGGTGGCTGCCATTCTCTCCCATTCTGTCATCCCTGCCAGAGGGATCCCCTGTCATCCTCCTGGGCCTCATGGCTCTTGGATGCAAGGGGTTGGGGTGGATTCCCCACTTCCTACTGGAAAGCCCTCTCTGCACGCAGGAAGCAAGCAAGCAAGCAAGTGCCTCAGGACAAAGGACTCCATTCCCCTGACACACTGCCTATCTACATGCAGGGAATTTCTTTCTTTTTTAATGTGGGGTGGGGGGGAGCATATAAATGCGAGTACATTTAACATTAGCAGAGATGGGCAGACAAGCTGGGGGTTAGAAGAGGTGGCAACCTCCCCTGCAAAGCTTCCAGGGGCAGCCTGGTGCACAAACGTTTGGTGGGCAAAGGCTTTGCCTGGCATGGGGACAGGGAGGCAGGAGAAGTGATGTCCCTCTGCTCCTTCTGCTGTTGCAAAATGTCCAGGAGCAGAGAAGTGTTTGTCAAAAAAAGTGTCCGGTGCAGCCCAACTATCTTCGAGGAGCCCCCCAGCAGCCACAAAGAAGGGCTGACAGAGACGTCACACAAACGACTTTTTTGCAATCTCAAACAAGGCAGCTGAACCAGATTTGTTGAAGCCTATATGAAGGGGGGGGAGAGGGGGTCCACGCTTGACAGACCTGATGTGCAATGCTTGGACTGCTTGCTGCTGGGTGGCTAATTCCTCTGCACCCCGCCCCTCAAATTCCTGCTTCCGGTCTCCTTAAGATGATCTCAGCAGCACACAGAAATTGATGAGCCCACCAAAGAATCCTGGAGCTGAAGTGATGGCTGGAGATGTCCCCTGGGCTGGTGGAAAGCACAGCAGCAGGACCAGGGAGGAGGCTGAGGCCGGAGCAGGAAGCTCCTCCCAGCTCTGGCCTTGGGGAACCAGCACTTCTTGTGGGGGCTATCTAAGGAGATCCAGCCACCTCAGCCCAAAGCCATGCCAGACCTCTTAAGCCCCATTTCAGTACTTCTGCTGCCAATGGAGTGGGGGCACATTTGCCCTGGCAGATTCCCCACTTTGCCCCATCTTCATGTTTCTGGAGGTGGGCTCCAGCATCCCGCTGGCAGCAGAGGAGGCAAGAGGGGGCCTTGGCTTCCTTTGCCATCAGCAAGCAGACACCGCCCCACACAATTCACCAGCACCAACAAGCGCCCAGAGCCTCACCTTGGTCGGTCTGTTCCGTGTCTCGTGAAGGAGAAGCTCTTCTGACAGCAGCAGGGTCCGGGCTGGATTGCAAAGGTCCAGAGGCTGAAAGGAAGAGGAGGAGGAGGAAGAAGAAGAGAAGGAGGGAGGCACACCTGGGACTTGGGTGTGAAGAACAACGCCAGCCCCCTGAGCGCCCCACCAACCTCCTCTTTGCAGAGAGGCTGGGAAGCCCCTGATAACAAACCGGATCTTGCAGGTGGAAAGTCCAGCAGAGGGGAAACAAGATGCCTTTGCGGGCTTGGTGTGGGCAGGCCGGGTTGTGTATGAGTGTGTGGTGGCTCCTTGCAACCCCAACACCTACATCACACACAGGAACTATAAAAAGATCTCTCACACTCTGCCCCTGTGTGTGGTTATCACTGTTGAGCTGCAGCAGCCACAACAGTGACTGAAAGCGATCAGGGGGAGTATGGAAGAGGCATGTGGGAGGCAGAAGATGCTTGCTGTGAGAGGAGTGTGAGTGTGGAGGGCACAAGAGAGGAGAGGCGAGAGGCCCACAGCTGCCAGCCACCAATGGCCACCAACGCTCTTCTCTCCCAGCTCCTCTCCTCAAAGCCCCTGAACATCTCAGGGTGAGGCTGGGCACAGTGAAGATCCTCCCTTGCCAAGGTGCACAGATGCAGCCACGCTGGCCATTTGAAATTGAAATACTTTATTGTCACTTGTACAACTTGTATACAGTGAGATTACATGAGCACCCCCCACTCAGCTCTCTTAGCCTCAATTTCCCTCGTTTACTGACACACACACACCAAACCTGAAAGTCAGTTGCCCTGCTATTATCTTTTCATTCAGAAGCCTAGCAGGCCACGGATAGAAGCCGTTCTTTACCATGTTCGTGCGACTAATCCTGCTTCTATATCTTCTGCCTGAGGGCAGGAGATCAAGAAAGTGCCGGCCAGGGTGTGAATCATCCCTGAGAATTTTCCTCACTCTCCTGAGGCAACATTCTTCCTCTATTTTATCCAGCGGATTCACGGGACAGCCCATAATATCTTGTGCTGTATTCACCACCCTCTATAGGCGCTTCCTATCAGATGATGTCAAACCAGCGTCCCACACCGTGATGCAGTAGGAAAGGACACTTTCTATTGTGGACCATTTCTGCCCATAGCTGTGGCCACATCAAGGCTCGGGGTGGGAGTGGGGAGGCAAGAGGCTAAGACAAGTGCATGGAGGGTATGGCTCCCAATGGCCACTTGCCATGTTTTGCCTCCACGGTCAGAGGCAAGGGCACCTCCAGATGCTGCTTGCTGGGAGTTCTGCTGCTGCTGCCGCTCTCAGGCCCTGCTTGGGAGCTTCTGGTTGGCCACTGCGAGAACAGGGTTCTGGCCTAGACTGGCACCCTTGGACCCTTCCTAGGGAAATGCTGCAGGACTCTGGCAGAGGAAGGGGTCCTCACAAAAGAATGCTCCACTCCACAGCCATGAAGGCTCACTCTGAATCATTCAGTCAGGGCTTTTTATTTTTTTAATGTCCTCACAGCAGGTCCACACCGGCCACATTCTAACTCAACTTTTAAGTTACTGCTCCCCAGGTTTGTTTGTTTTTAAAAAATAGAAACCTCCCACCTCCCTATTCCCCCACAGTTGCTTAAAGCTGGTTCTCCCGCATTATCAAAGACCCTTAACCAAGGGCCACCAAGATGGTGTCTTGCAGATGCTGCGGACCACAACTCCCATCACTCCTGCCCAGTGGGCATATTGGCTGGGGCTAACCCCAACCCTATCGATGGCTAGGAGTCAGGGTGACTAGACGGGGCCTCCACATGAAGAAGCAGTGATGCCACAGTGGCATGGGGAGGAGCAGCATTTACTTACTTGCTAAATTTATAGTTGCCCCCTAGAACAATGTTCCCAGGGCTGCCTCAAAGGAGAAGAGGAAACAAATTGACAACAAAGCAATGTTGCTTTTGAGCCCTGGCTGGGAGCCTCCTTTTCGGAAGAGAGATGCTAGCTTGGGCAGCCCGTGGCTCTGGCCCAGCAGCTGCAGCAGGGCTCTGAGCCTCCTCCTTGGGTCTTCCTAACACCTCTCTCCCCACAACGATGCAAGTCCCTCTTCTCTTTCCACACTCCACACCCTGGCATTAGTACTTTGGCCGATAGCACTTTGTGGGAGGCAGCACACAGAGCACTGCTTTACTGAGGTGATAGTACCGCAGCAAGCACAGCAGGGACAGGAGGAAGCGCCTATCCAGCAGAAAGGGTTTCCCTCCTCCCCCTCCCTCCCTGAGACTTACCTGCACAAAGATGGGGAAGACCAGCACTTTGGGGGCCAGCGTCACGTAGGTGCCGTAGCTGGAGTGTGGGATGCCAGGTCTCACGAGGGTGCAGTTCTGGGGGCGGCTGCCACTGTGGCTTTTCATGGTCTGCACCGTCTTCATGAGCCGGGACTTCTTGCCCTGGGTCCCGCTTCTGCATGGATTGCCTGGAGGAAAGGGGGAGAGCGGGGGTAGCTTATTGTTCCCTCTGCTGCAGGACTGCTGTGGTCACAGCCCTGCCAGAGAGCTGTACTAGACCACGCTAATTAATTTGTGTAACAACATTATATACCGCCAACCTAGCAGTTTGAAAGCACACCAGTGCAAGTAGATAAATAGGGACCGCTGTGGCGAGAAGATAAACGGTGTTTCCGTGTGCTCTGGCTTCCGTCACGGTGTTCCATTGAGCCAGAAGCAGTTCAGTCATGCTATCCACATGACCTAGAAAGCTGTCTGTGGACAAACGCTGGCTCCCTCAGCCTGAAAGCGAGATGAGTGCCGCAACCCCATAGGCGCCTTTGAGTGTACTTAACCGTCTAGGGGTCCTTTACCATTTTACCTTTACTGCTTGACTGAAGTAAAAACCTTGTAAGAACACAAGAAAAGCCCTGAAGCTGGATCAGGCCAAAGGGCCTGAATGAAACAGCAGCTACCTCCCCCCAGAAGTTTCCAGCAACTTATTCCCCACGGATTTGTCTTAAAGGCATCCAAGTAAACCACAAAACAGTTTTTGAAAAAAAAAACCTATTAAATTATCACTAAAGAATTAAAAACATTCAAAAGATCATTAAAACCAATAGTGCACTAAAAAGAGATCAAGCCATAGATGGAATTTCTGGATCTTTGGGTAGGCTTGTCTAAGCAAAAATGTTTTAAGGAAGCACCAGAAGACATACAGCAAAGGCCCTGCATGATGTCCATAAGCAGGGAGTTCCAAAGTGTAGGTGCTGCACACTGAAAGACTGATTTCTTACAAATGTGGAGCGAGTATTATGAGGCACCTGTAGCAGTGCCAGTTCTGCAGATCAGAACGGCCAAGTGGGCCATTGCCACTCTGGGGTTATTCCCACTTCCTCTTGTCCTGTTGCTCAACCCGGTCAGGAAAACTTCTCTTTAGCACTCAGTCAGAGCAATGCAATTCGAGTTTTCTCCTGTTTGCTCTGATTCAGTGCTAAAGAGCGGAATTTCCCTGGGAAAAGAGCAGGCAAAGGGGAAACTGCTGGGTTTTGTGCCTAGAAAGCCCAGGTCAAGTGGGAAACTGCCCAGCCCTGTACTTTCTAGGCACAGGACAAGTGGAAGTGTGGATGAGCCTCCTGTCCAATTACCAGCATCTGTCAGGAGCCTGACTCAAGATTCATCAGGAAGCACAGTCCCCTTAAGTACATGCCAGCCTCTTCACTTCCCCTGGTCTGGGGAAAGACATTAAGAAGACAGAGCCCTGCCAGGGGATGGGAGAGAGCCAAGGAGCAGGGCCTCTGCCATGGTCCGGATGCCCCTTCTACACCTCACTCCCCCATCAGCTTGGTTTTGTAAGAGGCCAGGAGGTCCCTTCACAGAACTCTCCATGCCCAGCCCAGCCCTAAAACAGTGCGGAAAGTCGTGAGCAGGAGTCCACCAGCACAAGAAAAATCCTCTCCCCATTCTGCAGTTTGCAATCACCTTAAACACAGCAGGGGAAGGATTACAAGAGGCACAGCCCAACCTGATGCAGGTTCACTCGAAAGTAAACCCCACAGTGCTCAAGGGAGCTTACTCCGCAGCATATAATGAACTGAGTGTTTTTTGGGCTGCAGCCACTATCAGGTCTGGCCAGAAGAATAGAAGCCCCTGCAAGGAACACAGGGCAGCTTCCCCTCTGGTGGGCAAGCAGGAGCAGGCGGCAGAGGGGAGGGGAGGGCAGATGCCACTGACTCTTTCCGAGAGCAAAGTGCCCAGCAGTGGCGTAGCGTGGGTTGTCAGCACCCGGGGCAAGGCAAGTAATTTGCGCCCCCTAACCCGTGGATTTGCGCCCCCTAACCTGTGGATTTGCGCCCCCTAACCCATGGATTTGCCCTAACCCCAGATGTTGCGCCCGGTGCGGCCAGCCCCCCCTGCACCCCCCACGCTACGCCACTGGTGCCCAGACTAAACCTTGTGCACACCCCACTCCACACTTCTAACTGGCTTGGCCTCCCCAGAAACATCAAGGAATGGCTTCTTATGTGTTTATTTCTCTCCATCCGTCCCCTGTGCCTGCTCAGGGCGTGACGCTTTCCAAGAGTCAGTAGGAAACGGAGCCTCGCGGAAACGGTGAGTCAATCCGGCTCATTGTTGGCCAGTCGCTTTGGCAAATTTCCTACGTGGCTGCTCCTGCCACAGAGGACTTGGAAAACAACACGGCAGCTTAGCTGGTACCATTTCCACCAGGGCCTCTCTGTTCCCAGGCTGGCCTTATCATGAGCAGAGTGGCCCCCAAAGCCTTTTCTTCGCCTGCTTTCATCACTCCCACTTTTACAAGTGTTGACTGTGATGATTTGGGCTAAGGATATTGCCATTGCTGGGTGGCCAATGTGGAGCCTCTTCAGTCTTGGGGTGCTCAGGGCCACACCTGGGGAATATGCCAGTGTTGCTAGCAAGGCATCTTGCCCTCAGCTGCCTTTCCACACACAGCAGGCCCCTCGTAGCTGCTCTGATGCTGCCCTGGGAAAGGCAAACATTCAAGAGCCTGCCTTGGCACCAGCGCAGCAGCCTCCCTGACCTCCCTTGTCCCCCTGAACCCAAACACTCCTGGATGCAGATGGGGAAGCAGATAGGGCCGCTCCAAAGTAAACAAACTGGACCATTCCATGAGCCGTTTGAACAGGGCTTGTTTGCTCTCAGATAAACAATGGTCTGTACCAAGTCATGTTCACTGGCAATGGCTTGGAAGCCGCCACTCTTTGCTGCAGAGATGGGGAAAGGCCTCTGAGACTCTAGGAGTGGGCAGGAATGCTCAACTGGCAGGTCTCAAACAGTGGCAGGCAAAAAAAGCACAGCCGTTTTTACAACAGCCCTGCAAGGCAGGTGGGCATTATCACCCTCTCCGTAGTGACGATGTGGGTAAGTGGCCATGGGGGGAGTGAGTCAGTGGGTGACACGAGATCTGAAGCAGGGACTTCCTGGCTCAAAAACCCTCTATAGAGCCCCCCCCTCTTTGGCCTGGCCCAGCCCAGGGTCCTTTCCTCGCATGCAGCCCTTTGCAATTCCACCGCCCCCCACCCTGCATTCCCAGGAGTGAGTTGCTTTAATGGACTGCATGGACGGAGGCTCTGGATCCCTGCTCTGCCATGAAGCTCCCTGGGCGACCTCCCTGGAGCCAGGCCCTCTGATCTCAGGGCTGCCACAATAACAAAATTGGGGCACCTCCCCACCCCCGCAACCTCTTTTGCGGAAGGCTGGGATACACATGACTCCCAACAAGTAATGAGATGCTGTTTGCGAGAAGGCAAACCTCTGGGGACTCCGGGAGCCCAACCAGCTAACAGGCCACCTGCTGCGGCTCCCAGCTTCTCTAGAACTCCTCTCCATTGCTCTGTGCTCCAAACACAAGAAAACAAGCACAAAAAGTAGTAAAAAGAGGCTCCCTAAGATTTCCCTTCACTGCTCCTGGCCTCACTTAATATTCTGCCACCTCAAGAAAAGCTGGACCTCCAAACCAGAAATGAGCAAAACCTGAGACACAGGCAAGAATTTAGCTAGACCCCCTTCTCACTCACTCACTCACTCACCTCCAGGGGCCTTGCCTTCCGGGTAGATGGGCCTCAGCACCTGGAAGACACAAGACAGGAGAGCCAGGGTTACCTCCTCCTCCCTGCTCTCAGAAGACACTGTTGGGCTTGGGAAGACCCTGCAATTCTAATGCTGGATGCAGAATGTAGCATCTTGAGATCTCAGCCTTTCTCTTTTTGAAATATAGGTCAGCACAGTTTGGGACAAGATGTCCCATGTCCCTACCTGGAAGAACTATTCTAGGTAGTCCATGCACAGCCAACATGCTCAGGTGGGCAGCAGCAGAGGCTATCGGAGGGGGGCAGCAGCAGAGGACTATGATGGGATGGAGGGCCAAGGGCCCAGCAGCATCCTCTGGAAAGACAGCACCTGAACTACTGCATTTCAGCCTGCAGGGTGGACTCAACACATGAACTTCTCTTTGATATAAAAGGAATTCCTTTTACACAGAGAGCAAATGTGCCAGGGAAAGAGCTACGCTGCAGTCTGACCTCCAGGCTGACATCCAATTCTCTGCATGCAGGCATTCTTCTTCTGGAGCATCCAGCCACCCACAGCCTGTTGTCCCCTGCAGGACCAGTTTTAATCATCTCATGAGCTGCTTTTGTGGATGAAGGCCTTGTATTTTCACTTCTGACAGTGAAAGGGGTTCCCTTCCAGGCAACCTGCTTAATGAGGTTTCATCCTGAGGTGTTTGTGGGGAGACAATGTTGTATTAGGCCAGACATGGTCAAACTTGGCCCTCCAGATATTTTGGGACTACAATTCCCATCATCCCTGACCACTAGTCCTGTTAGCTAGGGATGATGGGAATTGTAGTCCCAAAAAAACGTCTGGAGGGCCAAGTTTGGCCATGCCTGTATTAGGCAAATGCTACATCTCACCCGCCCAAGAACGCATTCCTACCATTTTCCTCATCGCAAGGGGAAGGAGCCTGTTTGTTTCACAAGAACTCCAAATTTGTCAGGATGTGACTTAATCCCACATGAAAACAATGACAATCTGGGAGACTCTGACCGGCCAATTGCACTTCTTCTGAGAGGAGAGTGTGCAAGTGGAGCATTTCAGACCAGAGAAGAGGTGAGATGAGCCACCTGACCAGTAGCCAACCTCTGCTTCCATACCTGGCCTCCTGGATTGAGAGGCGCCAGGATGATGTAGTTCTTGTCGCCCCCACTCGTTGAGGGTGTTCGGGAAGGGGAGGGCATGGTGTGCTGCTGGGAGACCTTCCCAAGCTCTGTGTAGCGCTCCCAGCCGTTGAGCGCCAGGCCCTCGTTCCCACCATAGACGATGTGGCAGCTCTGGCGATGATCGAGGTGTTGGGAGTGCAATGCACTGTTCTTCTCTCGCTTGTTGGGCGGTGACTGCAAGTCGTACGTCGATTTGCAGGATGAGCGGCGGATGACGCCTTCTGGGCCAGGTCTGACCCGAGGGACTATGCGCCAGACCAGCACGATGATCTCGCGGGAGCAGTTCCTGCAAGAAATAAGATTGGCATTGACACAGATTCGTTCTTGGTGTACCCCCTTTCTGCCCTGTCTCTCCCACCCTTGCTTGGAAATCAGGCCAGAGCCTTCTCCAAAACAAAGAATGATTTGCTTGCTGATAGATGAAGGGTTCTGAGGAGGCTCCCCAGGGAGGGAGTTTCCAGAGCCTCTTGCCAACCCTCCCAAAAAGCACCTCAGATACTGGCAAGGTGTGGAGAAGGGAGCAGTGTGTAGAGGCTCTTCCAAAGGTCTCAGTAATGGAAAATGTGGGAGGAAAGGTCAAGATGGAAAGGGCCACAGACAGACCCATTCTCAAGATGTTGCGAGGGAGGTCTTCTCTGTGCTGGCCCCATGACGACCATAAAGTGTTTGCAACATCTGCACATCTCCTACACGTCAGGCCTTTGCCAATGTCTGGGTGTTTCCCAGAAGCAGCCCTTCCATACTCAGACACAGGCACAGAGACCCCTTACTCTCCACCCATGTACACCACCCCGAGGGATCCAGGGATCCTGGTTCCGCCCCTGCAATTCCCTCTCCACACGTGTGTCATAGTCACCGGATCTCGTGGGCCAGCTCCACACACTTCCAGCGCTCGACAGGTTGCTCATTGAGTTGGAGGATGGTGTCCAGTTGCTGCAAGCCAGCTTTCTCTGCTGGGCCACCTGCAAAGGGTGGGGTGGGAGAAACAGGGCATGTCTGCACCACAGGCACACTGGTTTCATAGCCTTTCCCACCAAAGCAAACTTGGGTAGATGAGTACCTAGCAGTTTGGAAGCCAAACAGAACTACTCAAACATAGGAATTAGGAGAAACCCTAGCTCTCCTAGACAGGAAGGGAAACAGGGAAAGCGGTGCACGTTTCTGTGTTAGTCCAAAAGCAGACCCTGCCAGCTTCCAGAGCCTAAATAATGCTGAAGTCAGAAGTCTGCGGGCTGGAGCCATGAGTGGCGGGAGGAAGTGGACCTGTGTTGTGTAGCGCACGGCCAGCATGCCACTCCCTAGACCAGGAGGAGAGTGCCAAGAGGCAGGAGAAGCTGGAGCCCAGAGCCCAGAGCCCAGCCCCTTTGCAAAGCGAACTAATCCACCATCCAGGCACCTCTGGCCTCCTTACCCGAGTCCACTGCCTGCACACGGACAGGCGAGTCACAGCAGATGGTGAACCCAAACCCATTCTTGCCACGGGGGATTGTAATCTGGAAAGAAACAACGAAGTTATGCCTTTTAACAAACAGCAACAGCTGCCCCTCATGCATTCTGCATTCACTGGTCGTGTCTGTGCAGCAGGTGGGGAAAGACAAAAGGGATGCATGCACACTCGCACTCTGCACATGCTCACTGAACCCCAGGAGAGGGAAGTGGGATCTCTTCCACTATCCCCAAGCGCACACCCTGCAACTGTGCCCACAGCCATTCTGTTCGGCCTTCACAACAAGAAAAGCCCCCCTGGGAGGCCAAGTGAGTCCCCTGGTGTGGGCTCAGCAGGCAGCCACGGGTGGGGAGCACTTTGCTCTCTCCTTGAGCAATGAGCACCAGGAACTTTCCACTGGCCACACGTGGACAGGAAGCTGAAAGGTTGCGCTGATCTTATCAATCCCTACCTTAGCCGCCTCCACCACCACAAAGAGGAGGAGGTTATTTTAGCCTCACCCACATCCGTTGCCACAGAGAAGCACCACAGCAGCTCTCCTCAAAATAGCATTGTGCCTTCGGGCTGAAGGGGCTTTCCAAAAGCCAGGGCTTGCCAGGCCACTAGGCAGCGTGGGCTTCAAAGGGATTTGGTCCCCAGCAGAAAGAGCTTTCAGCCGCCTCAGAGACTACAGGTGCCTGTGGGCCACTGAGTCAAACCAAAGGGGTGCTTAGCCAGGATCCTGTCACCACTCACACTGTACCACAACAGGAGCATGGATGCTCCCCACCCCAGCTGCACCCCTCCCTCCAGGAGATGTGCCAAGGTCTGACATGGAGCCCTGTGCATCCTGGTCATGCCCCTGGCGCTATTTCCTCATGATTTTAGTTTTATTCCCTTCATGACAGTGAATGCTGCAGAAGACAGAATCTGGATTCAAGATGCCTTTAACAGATTGGAAAACTGAGCCCAAACTAACAAAATTAATTTCAATAGGGGCAAATGTAAGGTTCTGCACATAGGCAGGAAGAACCAGGTGAACAAATATAAGACTGGGGACACCTGGCTTACCAGTAGCACATGCGAAAAGGGTCTAGGGGTCTTAGTATAGAATCATAGAATGGTAGAGTTGGTTGGAAGAGACCCAAGGGTTATCTAGCCCAACCCCCCTACAATGCAGGAATCTCAGCTAAAACATCGCTGGCAGATGGCCATCCAACCTCTCCTTAAAAACCTCCAAGGAACGAGAGTCCACAACCTCCACTGTCAGACAGCTCTTACTGTCAGAAATTTCTTCCTGGTGATTTGTCGGAATCTCCTTTCTTGTAACTTGAAGCCACTGGTTCAAGTCTACTCTGGTTCGAAAGGCTACTCTCCAAAGCAGAAAAACCTATTTTGCTCTCTCTTCCCTGTGGCAGCCCTTGAGATATTTGAAAGTCTCTATATCACCTCCTCTCAATCTCCTCTTTTCCAGACTAAGCATCCCCAGCTCCTTCGACCGTTCCTCATAAGGCTTGGTTTCCAGACCCTTGATCACCTTGCTTGCCCTCCTTTGCACAAGTTCTAGCTTGTCAACATCCTTCTTAAATGGTGGCCCCCGGAATTGGATGCAGGTGTGGTCTGACCGAGGCAGAACAGAGTGGAACTATTACTTTCCTTGATCTAGACGCTATACTTCTGTTGATGCAGCCTAGAATAGCATTAGCTGGCTGTTGTTTTTTGCTGCGGCATCATACTGTGGACTCATGTTGAGCTCATGTTAAGCACCCAATAAGCTCAATGGCCCATGAGAGCAGGCAGAGGCATCTTGACTGGGCTGCTGATGGGAAGAGAGGAAACCTGTCTGACCACAGACACTGTTCAGACTTGGACTTGCATCCCATGTGGAGCCTGAGTAGTTCCAGAGATGACTGTCTCTTGCGTATCCTGTTTGACCAGCAAAGGGGAAAGATCTGCCCTTCCGGTTCCCGAGGAAGACCCTCACTAAGAGCTCCTCCACGAGGGCTTGCTCAAAGGAGGAGGGAGTCTGTTCAAAGGGGCTGCGGGACACTCTCTTCCTGTTTGGGAGCAAAAGGGCAACTCCCTGGTGATTCTGCAGAGGTCCAAGGGCAGTGCATGGGCCGTGCCACAGGGTGGTTTGAAAGACGGGGGGAAGGAGCCATAGTCAGAAAAAGGCAGACAGAACGACTATAGGAAGTTGAAGCCCAAGTTCCCTGGTTGAAGCATTTGTGGGTTGCTTAGATGAGACAACTGAAAGGATTTAAGGATTACATAAAGCACGCCGGTAGTAGATGGGGAGAACGCTTCCCTCTTTCTCTCAGGGCCACACAGAGGAAATGGACCAGCAGGAAAAATGACTACTTCTTCACACGTGTAATTAGCTTGTGGAACTCACTGCTCCAATCTGTGATTGTGGCTACAAGCTTAATATAGTTTAAAGGGGAAACTAGTGCAATTCATGCTTCTATCACAGGTGCAGAGAGCCTACATGTTCAGAGGCAGTCTATCTCTGAATACTAGTTGATGGCATGTTTAGCCTGGAGAAGAGGAGGTTAAGGGGTGATATGATAGCCATGTTCAAATATATAAAGGGATGTCACATAGAGGAGGGAGAAAGGTTGTTTTCTGCTGCTCCAGAGAAGCGGACACGGAGCAATGGATCCAAACTACAAGAAAGAAGATTCCACCTAAACATTAGGAAGAACTTCCTGACAGTAAGAGCTGTTCGACAGTGGAATTTGCTGCCAAGGAGTGTGGTGGAGTCTCCTTCTTTGGAGGTCTTTAAGCAGAGGCTTGACAACCATATGTCAGGAGTGCTCTGATGGTGTTTCCTGCTTGGCAGGGGGTTGGACTCGATGGCCCTTGTGGTCTCTTCCAACTCTATGATTCTATGAGAACAAGCCGTGTGGGTGAAGGCTGCTGGCTTCATGCACTGTTTCTGGCCTTGCTGGAGGGGCAGAGGCGGCCACTTGGCCGGTCACTGTGGAGAGAAAGCAGAACACTTGGCTAGGAGGACCTAGCGGATCCTCCTCAGCCCAATCCAGTCAAGCTCTGAGGCTCGAGCTTTTAGGGGACCCACTTCAGCAAGAACAAAAGCATGCCAGCCTTCAAACCTCACTTCATCAAGAAGAATGAAGAGTTAAGTTTCACATTGTACGTTTTATCCGCTAGTTATCAACACAAACTATCTCACGACAGCAACCTGAAGAGAAGCCAAGCCAAGTTTTCCCCTGGGCACAACAGAGGAATCACAGAGTTCTTCCTCCACCCTATAATAATAATAAAAATTTTTATTATTTACACCCCGCCCATCTAGCTGGGTTTCCCTCTTGAACTGACCTGGAAAGGAGTTCTGTGTAACTGGAAAGGCTGCACCCCTCTAAGCTGACAAAGGCCACAATCCTACACCCTGAAGTCACAGAGCTTACTTTTGAGTAGCCTGCAAAGGATTGCATGTTGATACACTGCCTCCCTCCTCCTCCACCTTTGCTTTATTCAGGGTGTTTTAGGGTTCCTACCCTAAAGATTTGTTTGCATCATGGCAAACACACAGGGCAGCTTTTGCCCTATTTAGCTGCTGCTTCATCTTTTGGAGATCCAGGGACCTGATGGAACCTCCTTGATGCCCAACTGGACCCCAAGGCCAAGGGGCCAGAAAGAGGTGGGGGACCTAGATGAAGCGTGGGCAGCTCACCCTCCCTCCAGGTCACAATCTCATCACTCCAAAGCCATAGGGTCAAAAGGTTCAGAGTGAAAGACCCCTCTGCAGGAGGCACCCCACACACCCACACACCGCAAGAGGCATCCTCAGAGCACAGTGTGGCAGAAGCAGGGCTGCCCCTTAGGAACTCAATGAGGGGAAAGCTCCCAAGAAAGGCCGCTTGGACACATGAGGGGAGATCAGGCGGTCCAATAGGTGGCTGGCTGCTAGCAATGGGGCACCTGGAGTCAAAGGCAGCATCCCTTTGACTAGCAGCCACTGGTGGCGACAAACAGAAGAAAGCTGGATTCCTACCACCCTCTGCCTTGCCCTGCTTCTGTGAGATTCCCAGGAGCCTCTTGCTAGACATGGGATGACGGCAGCATGTAAGGCTGGGAGGGGGTTCCTTCTGAACCCTCAAAAGACAATTCTCTCTCCCTCTCTTTCACACACACAAACAACGAGACCAAATCAATATGCAACAAGAGACGGCGCTGTGCGGTTGAGCTCACTTCCCTAGATCGAATCTCACTTCAGCTACAAAGTCACCAGAGCTGCCACCCAGTGCATGGTGACTAGGGCACCAATTCAATGGAAAGTAGTGAGGCTGACTTCCCTGAGCCAGCCCACCTAGGACTGGGCTGTCAGAGGCCTTTAGGCAAGCCAGCCTCTCTCAACAAGGAAGCGATGGGACTAGAAGAGCCTGGCTGCAGCTGGATCAGGTCAACTGGGCCCTGTCTAGCCCGGCCTCCTGTCCTCACAGGGGCCAAGCACAGGATCTGAGTGCCATGGCAGGGCTCGACCCCCTTGGGATCCCCAACAAGCAGCATTCAGGGGCATTCCCTGCCCGGACAGGGGAGGGAGGACACCCATCCCAGGGTCCAAGCCTTCAGATGATGCAGGGACAATCAAGGAGGTCACCCTCGACTCCTCTTAGAAAGCCCAGTCAGCCACCCAGAGGAGTGGGGCAGGTCCACAGAATTATTCAGCCCTGGCAGGGAGAAGGATGGGCCCTTCCCAGCACCAAAGCCAGTTCCGTGGGGTGCGGCTCCCGTCTCCTCTCAACACACCCACTGGAGAAGGCCATGCTCCTTGAACCTCACGCACACCTGCTCCTGGGTTCGCATGCAACCGACCTGCCGGTAGCGCTGCTCCGAGCACACTCTGCACAGTCCGCTGAATCGGCTCATGTCCGCGGCCTGGAGCCTTGCGGCCGGACCAGGCAAAGCTAAACCATTCCCCGCTCTCCCTGGCGAGCGCAGAACAGAGGCCCCCTGCCTGCCTGCCTTCTGGCAGCTGAGAATAAGCCTCTGTGATCCTGGCATGGCCGCCCATGAGAACCCAGGAGCTGCTCAGCAGAAGAATGGCAGGAAGCCACCCCTCACCTCCCGGGCAGCTCTCACTGCCATGTGCTGCTTTATGATAAGCGGAGAGGCTTCCTGAGAACTTGAGGGGAAGAGGGAGAGGGGGAGAGAGAGTTTGGAGTCAAGCTCCTGTCAGCTCTTTCACCCAGGCGGCCTTTGTTCACCGAGGCAAATCTCCCCAGCACACGGACACGGCCCAGGTTCTCACAAACAGTCAGAGGATGTCGGAGGGGGCCTTCCACTAGTGCTGTGCAAAAGGGCGGGGGGCTTACATTCACATTCATATGGGGAGAGTGGAGGAGAAAGAGTAAGGACTGCAAGTAACCAAGGAAGGAAAGAAGCTGCCCAGAAAAATCTCTCTCTCTAACGCTCTCACACACAAGTAAACTCTTTACTGATGGGGATCCGCAAATCAGACCAGTTCATGGCTAGCTGCGTAAGAGGGGAAAAGCAACCCAACAGCTGAGCCTTCCTAAGCATGCGAGGGAGGGGCAGCCTGCTGACTCCTGCCTGCCTGTGCCCATTAGAAAGGAAAAGAACAGATAGTGGTGCCTGTAGTGAAATGGCTGGCATCCGCCTGTCCCAGGAGACAATGCAGGAGTGTGCCTTTGGGGTGTGGTCAAGCAGGGGGAAAGTTACAGCGCCTGCTGTGGCTGTAGAGACTGACACAGGAATGCTGCCAGGGACATCAAAGCAAGAAGAATTTCAAGCTTCCTCTCCTTCCCAGCAGGCAGCAGCATGCGAGGGACATGAGGAAAACACTTGCAGAACTGCAGGAGGGAGGGTGCAATTTGCAGCAGGATGTTCACTGCAACAGTCCTCCTGCCTGTGGGCAGGTGAGGGAGGACGGTGAGGCACCCCAATCTCCTCAACTTCATTGCAAAAAGCGCTTTCTGACTGGCTGCCCCCTTCATGGGTGTTTAGCAGGAGCAGCTGAATATGACCAAGGCATCCACTCGCTCCCTGCCCTGGGAAAGGCGGTTGTTGAACCCGGCCTCCCACACCTGCACGCTCCTACCTTGAGCTGCTCCATGTTCTCGTCCTGCTGCTGCTTCCCCAGTAACGCCACTGCCGCAGCTGGCCTGGCCAACATCAGCTCTGCAAAACAACAGGGAGGAATCTGTCCATCACCTCTGCAGAAAAAAAGAGGGAAGGCCTGACCTCCCTGTACTGAAATATCCTGCTTTACATGCCTAATGTCCACTGAAGCTGCTGGAACGGTTTCTCATTATCTGCTCAACTTGGGGCAAACTTGATCCTGGGGGGAATTAGACACATTACACACAGACTTTGCTGTGGAGAGCTATGTAATATAGGAGTCTCCTCCTCTCTGCCCTCTTCCACCCCACCACAAGGGTGAGAGTTTCTGCTATTTCTTACTAGTGTCCAATGGTTCTGCAAAATGTACCCACATGGCTTCCAAAAACAGCAATATCTAACCCTGCAATAGTAAACCTAAGTGGGAAATAAAAACAATGCAAAAATACAAAACACCGCAATGCAGCAGCACTAAAACACCTATATTAGTAAAGTAGAACAATTCTTTAAATCAGCTGGTTTTTCTTAGGTTATCTTAGAGATTTGCTTATTGCCACTCATCAGTTGACCCCAGAGTGGTTTACAACAGGAGCTTGCTGGCTTAAAAACAACCACAACAGCCACCGCTCTTCAATTCCTGTCCCAAAACAGGAAGAGACCGAGTCTGGCAGATCCCCCAAGGGGAGGCATTCCACGGTTTTGGACCAGCACTGAAAAGGCCCCGTTTCCTGTATTTGCCCACCTAATCTCCCGCAAAGATGGGATGAAGAGCAGGACCACAGAATAGGATCTTAGAGCATCGTCAAGATGTTTATAAGAATATTTACGAACCTCCAACTCAAGACGGTATACAGGAAAGTCATTAAAGCACCCTAAAACTTTAAAATCTTAAAATTATAGAACCATAAAATACTGAACAAATGACCAGCTATTAATCAGATTAATTTACTGAAATGCTTGGTGGAATACAGGAGAAATGAGAGTAGGGAAGAGCACGCAAATCAATGGGCAAATGGATATTCTGATACAACTCGACAGCGCCACCTAGAGCATCAGCGATTCTCACCCATGCAGGGGACCTGAATGGGCAGCAGCCCACAATATGGTCTCTGAAGAAGCATCTCCAGCGGTTGAGACCTCCGAAGCAATGCCTCAACTGGCCTGAACCATTTCAGCCTCTTGAAATGTCAGAGAGGAGGGATTTTCGGGTTGGCCAAACACAACATTGCAACGGGGTGGTGCTGTAGCTGAGTGGGCAGAGCACCTGCCTTGCATGGGGTTTGATTCCCAATGGCACTTCCCGGAAGGATTGGGAGAGAGACCCTGCCTGAAGCCCTGGAGAGCCATTGCTGCCAGTCAATGTGGGTAATATTGAGCGACATGGACCCAAAGGGTCTGACTCAGCTTAAACCAGCATCCTATGTTTCTCTGCATAGCAACCAGTGATGTCAGAGGTGAGGCCTGTTTTGCCACAGAGCCAACAGGCAGCCTGTCTTAGAAGAGAGACCCGCCAGTCTCAAATGCCCATAAATACGTACGATTTTTCCTTTAACCTTTGCCTTCCTCCAAACATTCCAAAGATGCTCTGCAGGGAACTCTGAACATGTTCCCAAGCCCGTGACTGCTCAAGCAGGTAAAATGCAACCAGCCAAGTTGGACTGACTCGTAATTGTTTACAGTAGTACCTCGGTTTACGAACTTAATCCATTTCGGAAGTCTGTTCTTAAACCGAGGCATGCTTTCCCACTGTTCGGATTCCGTTCTTAGACCAAGGTAAAGTTCGCAAACCAGGAGACTATTTCCAGTTTTGCAGAGTTCGTAAACCAAATCGTTCGTAAACAGGACTGTTCTTAAACCGAGGTACCACTGTACTTACAAGCCTGTGTTGCGTGTGGAAAATGTGCAAAAGGGCTGCCCAGGGACTAGTCATTTTCTGAGTGATTCTTTGTTCCTCCAACTAGGCAGGGTGGGGTGTGGGGCAATTGGCTCCCCCTGCAGCAGCCATGGAGGCCAGTCCAGAGCAGTCAGGGCAGGCTTGCCTGGGGGTCTTTCCCCTGCACAGTGTCCACAAGCTCTGCAACAGGACCCCAGGGGGAAACACATCCCTAACTCCTTTCCCCCCTTGAGGGAGGCCCACAAGCATCCCCCAGAGGGACCCACCTCTGCTCTGTTTCAGCCGCCGTGTAGCTGCCTTCAGGTGCTTTGTCCTGCCCAGGTCTTCCCCCAGTAGGTAGTACCATCCACAGATCTCCTGCAGTTAGAAAGAGAGTCAGTAGAAGGAAGCTGCAGGAGATCCCAAACTTTTCTGGATTTAGAAATCCCTTCCCAGCTGTGTTATTTGCTAGCAAAATGCACATCATTGTGTGTGTGCATGTGAGCTTGTGAGCACAGACCCCACCCCATCATTAAAGAAAACCCCCGCCATTTGCAAAGCCCAACAAAATCCACCTGGGAAACCTTATCTGTGTTCTGTTCCGCAGCCCAGCTGACGGGATGGGGGAATGAGGGGAGGGAATAAGAACCTGCTCTTGGGCTCATGTTCTGCTTGCAGGTTTCCTGCAATAGGTATCTGGTGGACCCCAGTGAGAACAAGATGCTGGACTGGACGGGCCACTGGCCTCACCCAGCAGGTTCTTCTTATGTTCAAACTAGACACCTCCAAGCCTTCAATCTCCATCTTTGAAAAGGGGATGTCGCTGAACCCCAGTTGCTGATCTGCCTTGAGGATGAACATCCCAATTGGCTTCAAATACTTTTCTTATTAAAGTCACTATAGATGTTTGGAAACTGCTGCATGTGGTTTATACATTTTTATTTTAAAGCTGGCAGCAGAGGGCAGCACCCAATCCTCTGCCCGCAGCTCTGACATGCATTTGGCTGCTGGTGGACAACACATTCTCAGCACTCTCTGCTTTTTTTTTAAAAAAAAAAACACACCACCTAGTTAAGGTTGCTGTTGGTTTAATGGGGTGTTGCTGTTTTTTGGAGGGGAGCCAATTTCAAGGGGCGTGGGGGTGAGAGACGAGGGCCTGGTCAAAAGCCCTGCTGTGCTGGAGGGAGACCTTGTGCAGGATCTCATGAGTAGAATCCCACCCAGGGTTCCATTTAGGCATCACGACTGCATGGAAATTCCACGTTCAGAAATAGCAAACTAGTTTTTGATATGGGGGGATTTCAGTGACAGCACACACCAAATCATACCGCTACAGAGAGGAAACTGCATGCCCTGCAACAGGCCCAGACCCAGGGTTCTCTAGCCGGCTTTATACATCTCCCCACCCCCAATTCCCTGTCCAGCTTGGGAAGACGTCAGCAGCCCTCCACACCCCCGTGAGGCAAAGACTGGTGTGCTGCTGCTGCTGCTGTCACGCCTCATCTCATTAAAGCATGGCAGGGACTTCCTTCTCCTTGGGACAATTAGCTGTGCCACAGCTGTGTCCCCACCGCACAACCCAGGAGGGTGGGAGGCTCCTCCATACCTTGTCTGGGCTCAGCAGGGTCTTCACACCGAAACTCATGCAGCCGAGGAGTTCACTCTGCCTGTGGGGAGAAGGAATCCTGAAACAGGGTCATGGAGATCAGGGCGGCGGCTGCTGCTCCCACGGCTCCTGCTGGGGGCTCTGGCCATTTTGTCTCCAGCACGGGAGCCTCCCCTGCAAGGAGATCTGGGCATTGAACCAGAGTGAGGAGACACTTTGGTCTGCACCTTCCAAGCTCCTCACACATGTGGCTGGCCCCAAGTGACGTCCTTTGGAAATCACCAGGCTCCATCGGCCATGCAGGTTGGCAAAGTTCCACGGCACACAGGAAGCTGCCCATGTGCCACGTGGCCTCACTCAGTGAGCGAGGTGTGGACCCTGAAGAGGAAGAGAAGGAGGTATCCCCCCATGTGTCTGGGTGGAGAAGGCAGCTACAGAGGACTTGCCTAGCTGAGGCAACTTTGGTTGGTTGGTTGTAAGTTCCTTTGGGTTGCCCTGGGCAAGATAACTCAACTAACAAATTTAATAAGGAATAGGAATAGTCAGCTGCCCCAAAGAGCTAGACACTGAGGGTATGGGAAATGGAGGCTACCCCTGGACAGCTCAGTTGGTTAGAACTCAGTGCTGATAACGCCAAGGTCGCAGGTTCGATCCCCATATGGGACAGCTGCATATTCGTGGGGTGGGGGGACTAGATGTTCCTCAGGGTCCCTTCCAGCTCTATGACTTGAACGCCAGAACCAGCAACTCCTGTCCTGCACCCTGCCACACCCAATACCTGTCAAAGAGCTCCCAATGGCCAGGGGGCTCTGTGGAAGAAGGGTCTTGGCTAGACCTGCTCTGGGGTAATGTACGAGCTCAGTCGTGCTCTGCTGGAGCACATTACATAACAATGCATAGGAACAGCCCGACTGCTAGAGCACACCAATGTGGGTTGATTCAGCGCAGGGTTTTACGTAAGAAGAGCCTTGCTGTGTCAGACCCAGAGCCCAGTATCTGCCCCTCAGAAGCCTCTGGGAAGCTCATTAAGCAGGGCTTGAAGACGACTGTCTGCTCCTGTTGCAGCTCCCCAACAACTAGGACTCAAAGGCAGGCTGCCTGCAAGAACAGAGGTTCCTTGTAGCCATTATAGCTGTTCTGCTTCTATATATGCTGATAGTAAGAGCTGTTCAACAAGGGAACGGATTCTCTTGGGAGGTGGTGGGTTCTCCTTCCTTGGAGGTTTTCAAGCAGAGGTTGGATGCCATCTGTCATGGATGCTTGAGCTGAGATTCCTGCATTGCAGGGGATAGAACTGGATGACACTCGGGGTCCCTTCCAACTCTATAATTCCATGATTATTTTAGAAAGGTTTCAGGCTGCAGTGGCTGCTGGCAATGCCTAAGGCCCACGGTCAGCCAGAATGGGTAAGCCACGCTAGACTAGCCAGGGCTCCCTGTGGCAGCTGGGGGTAGCCATTCAGGGTTCTGGGAGGGGTGTGGCCGAGTCCAGGGGCCATCATTTTCAGGTGAGATTCAATCTGATACCAGAAAATTCAGATTGCAGAGTTACAGTTGGTTGGGAGCTCTAGCACAACAAACTCACTTCCACAAAGGATAGGTCTTTCTATGACAAGGAAAGTGATGCAAAAACATACTGGAAAGTGTAGGATGACAAATCAGGATGATGCATGCTTCATAAACAGGTTGTCCGGAAGCACCCTGAGGTCCTAGCAAAACCCGAATGCGCTGATCCAACTCTCTGGTGCTGACATGGTTGGAGACGCAATTCTGGTTCCATAATGGAAAGGCACAACAGGCAGGGAAGACTCACTGGATGGGGGCACCTATCTGCCACTCACTTTAACACCCAAACTAGCAGATGCCCTCTCGTTCAGCCACACATGCTTTAAACATTCTCTCAACCTTTAAATACTGTACTGAGCATGTACTATCTTTTCTTTAGTTAGTTAGTTACAACTGCCAGATACACCCCAAAGCCTGACACTTGGTGATGATGCCTAGAATTTTAATGTGGTAAAGTAGGTATTATTATTTTTTAAAAAACTGGCTCTTTGAAATATTTGGACAAGGCTGGATGTTCAGTTACAGTTATGTCATTCGGTGGGGAAGAACACTGGAGATATTTATTCAGTGTCAGAAAGAGGCGACATGAAATTCCAAGACGAATCTCATCAGCGACACTGTTAATTCACCCTGAAGTTTCTATAAATACCAAATGGATTTATGTTTTCACTCTCTTTCCCTCTTGCACGCTGTTCACTATCAGATTACACGTACAGATGACATCACCACCATCATCAAAAGATCATACCACTATGGTGGCTTACAAAATAAAGGAATAAAAATTATTTCCAGTAACACAAATCAGAATCAGGTCAAACCATCTCAGCAAACAGTCACAGAACCAGCACAGGGAACACAGATGAACAATTCTCTGAAGAAGCACCATCTTCATCCGTCTCTCAAAGGACAGCAGGAGGAACATGCTGAGCAAACTTTTATCCACAGGGAGGGAGTTCATGCTCAGCACTGGGGGCTGTGGCAGAGAAGCCCCTGTACCTTGCAGGTGCTAATCTACCCCTTTGGTGAGATAGAACAACACACACAAAAGACCTTAAATGCTGGGGCCAAGGCAGGGTGCCATAGAAGAAGCTGGCTCTGAGCTAGGCAGGAGGTCCCTGCTCTTCCCTCAGAGGCCTTGAGCCGAACCCTGAGTCCCGTGCATAGCTGTCAACTTTTCCCTTTTATTGCGAGGAATCCTATTTGGAATAAAGGAATTTCCCTTAAAAAAGGGGAAAGTTGCCAGCTATGGTCCCGTGACTCTGGAACCAATGCCACAAAGGCTACTCACACTCAGGGAAGCAGCTTCTGCTGCAACACCACTCACATGACAACAACCAAAGGCTCAATGGCGTTGTAGTCTCGTAGCTGCATCTTCCTTACCTGGAATTCCTTGGTTGGTTCCACACAGTGACCAGCAGGCGCTTCCGCTCATCTTCCTCTGGCAAAGGACTGGAACACAAAGCAGAAAGGATGCGACCATGAGCCCCTGGAGGTAGCAAGGACCACGTCCAAACTTAGACTTCTCCCTCAGGCCCTCTCACACTGACTTGGCTACCTGGGGCAGAAATCGAGAGCTGGCCACAGCTTATGAATGCGTCTGATCTGGGTACATATTTTCAGCTCACATTATTTATTCCAATCCAACCCCATCACCTAGCTCTGTCCTCAAAGAGGATGGCCCAAGGGGACGGTCTGCTTGAGCTGAGGAGGAAAGCCAGCGTCCCAGAGGCACAGGAGTTCAGACGGAAATTAACAAGCACCATGAGAAGAGGATGCATGCCCACCAGCGGCACCAGCACTGCTGCTCATGACTGAGAATCCAACCCAGGAAGTTCACAGCACTTGCCCCCACCCCCACCAGGCAGCAGCACCCTTGGAGAAACCCTTATTACCTGGTCCAAGTCCCCCCACGACACCAAGGGCAGCTCAGAGCCCGGAAGAAGCTGTCTAGTTCAGAAACTCCAACAGTGGGGAGGGCAGGAGCCTAGCGCTTGTGTGTGTGTGTGTGTGTGTGTGTGTGTGTGTGTGGGAGCACAGGCTGACAGTCACAGACAAGCCAGCTTTGTGCACAGGGCCGAGGCATTTGAGCTGCAAGAAAACAGCAGAATAGTGTCTGTCGCTCTTCATCTCATGGCAGCAGCTCCCCATGCGTGAGGCAAGTTGTGCTGAGGCATAATAGCTGACAAGAGATGGGGGGGGAGGCGAGGAGAGAGAGGGAGGGAGGGAGGGAGGGAGATTGAGAGTCAGAGAAGCAAGGCGAATCCTAGCACACTTTCTTTAGCTCAGGATCCCTGATCAGCCTGTTGTGACACAGCCTGGGCCTTCTCTGGGACACAAGAGGAGAGGGTGTGTGTGTGTGTGTGTGTGTGTGTGTGAGAGAGAGAGAGAGAGAGAGAGAGAGAGAGAGGCAGCAGCTGACACCCCCATCCCCATACTCACAAGAGGAAATGCTCATGGAAGACGGGGCATTTGCTGTCCAGCACAGTCCTGGTCCTCTGCCTGCACTTCCGATCTGTCTCCGGCACAAGCGACACCTTCATTGGGAGAAGAAGAGAAAGAGCGTCGCTGTCATTGCGTGTTAACCCTCTTCTGGCTAGAGCAAGCTTCCAGCCAACACATCTAGATGAGCGGGAAACCGGCAGCTTTGAAATGGGGGAAAAAACCTCACCTGGATGTCAAAGCATGAATGGAACCCACAACGAAATGTCAGTGCTGGCTTTAAAATCCCATGCTGGATTTTGGGGTGGGGAGAGAAGGGGGCAGACAGCCTGCATTTTGCGAAGTTATCCAGATGAGCCCCCTAGCTTTGGCTCAGTTCCACAGAAGTCATGAAATCCTAAGGCTGAGTTACACAGGCAGCAAGGCTGAGAGGGCCCATGAGGCACGGATGGAGCCAGGAGCCACTCGCAGTGCCCCTCAGCAGAGGATGCTCCTTTTAGGATTGCACCTGCCACAGTTAACCCGCCACTGCCTTTGCAACCCTCCAGAAAAGCAGAGGTAGCGGCAGCAGCAGCAGCTGCAAGATCCCAGCACCCAAGGGCCAGCTGAGATGCGGCAGAAATTCCTGAATTCCACACCTGCTCAGACTTCTGCTGGCAAAGAGACGGAAGGGTTTTGTTTCTTTATAGATGCATGTAGCAAAAATCAATGGCTACAGACAACTTAAGTCAGCAGCTTGGTAAGGAGGAGGGCCTGCGCTCGGAGGAGGGGGAAAGAGAAGAGCAGCCCTCCTCCCCCCCCCCCCGCTCCTTCAGGGGAATCCACCCACCACGAAAGATTACTGTCTCGACATCAGCACCTCTCCTGAGGGTGGCAAGCCTACCTTGACAAAGGAGTCACAAATCCGGTACTCCTTCCCCATCAGGCCCTTGGCTTCCATGACTGGGGGACAGGGAAGAGAAAAACAAAAGAAGAAATTACATTGAAACGTGAACAGAAATAGCATCTTTTGCCGAGAGCAGGAAAAAAGGGTTAAATTGGGATTGCCAACCCAGTACCCCCAAAGGCATTCAGTGGAGTCCCCAGAAGGGGTCCCAGACTCTGAGCTTTCATTAAAAAGTCTCCAGCTCTCCTAGAACAGAAGTTATGAAGCAAAAACTACAGGTTCCCATCATTAACTGTATATTTTTATTTGTGACCACAGCTATTTTGTGACTGGTGCTGTCAGCGTCTTCTCAAAATTCCAAATCTGCCCCCGGACATGGAAAGGTTGGTGACTGCTGGATCCACTGAGATTGTGCACTCTCTCGCTCTCTCTGTGTCACACACACACACACACACACACACACACACCCTGCAGCTTCCAGCCTATTTGATCTGCCTAACTCACTCAGCCCTTGACTCCACAGCTCCCTGCTGACTCAGCAAAATGCCCTAGCCCCTCTCCTCTCCTCCTGCAGATAGCCCTGCCTCCCCCTAGTTAAAGGGCTTAATTTGAGCTTGGGAAACCACCCAGCAGTCTATGCATTCCACCATCCTCCATAAAAGCAAGGAATCTGGTGCCAGAATGGCACAGAATTCAGCATCCTGAGAATCTCAGCTGTTCTTTTTTGTTTTGGGTATTTTTGTGCCTATGAATGCAAACATAGACTTGAAAGTATGCGGGGAAAACATGGTGAACAAAGCACATCCACATTACAAACTGGATCTGGTCTCAACACCTCCAGAGTTTCTCCTAAAGCCACCTGAGGGGTGTAGTTTAGAGAGGGCACTGCTGACCCTTCAGCATAAACAGATAGTGAGCTAAACTGGTTTGGCACTAAAGAGAAGAAGGTTCCAGGAAAGCTCCCACTGTGGTCAGGAATGGCGCTTCATGTCGCCCACTGCCTTTCCTGCAGCAGAAGCAGGACAATCTATGACAAAATCTTCTCTTATAACAACAGTGTGCAAAGGCATGCAGATTTAGCTTGGTCTGCAAAATAACAGGTCCAGGATTTATCCTTTCGTCGCCAGTGTTTGTTTTTTTCTTCCCAGCACCCCATCCTGCTTTCCTTCCTGGAACCTGCTCTGAGCACCAGGGCTCAACCCTGGAAATGTGCACCGTGTGTTTTTTGAAAAGAAAGAGGGCCTCTGACCACGTGCAGCATACCTTCCCATGGCAGCTATAGAGCACATGCCAACCTACAGGCTCAGCTCAGGCCAAGGGGGTCTTTCACCTGGTCTTGAGCCCCTTTCCTTAGAAGCTGACCCACTGGCTTCTAAGTGTGGTGTAGTGGTTAAGAGTGTTAGACTTGTAATCTGGTGAACCGGGTTCGCGTCTCCGCCTCCTCCACATGCAGCTGCTGGGTGACCTTGGGCTAGTCACACTTCTTTGAAGTCTCTCAGCCCCACTCACCTCACAGAGTGTTTGTTGTGGGGGAGGAAGGGAAAGGAGAATGTGAGCCGCTTTGAGACTCCTTTGGGTAGTGATAAAGGGGGATATCAAATCCAAACTCTTCTTCTTCTCTTCTTCTGGCTGCAAAGGGTTCCAGGAGAAAACAGGATCTGGTCCCAGCCCCTTCACCAAGCCCCTCTTCATGCACCCCTGGTGGTGGTGGCAGCAGCAAAGGGTCCTGCCGTTCAGGGAGGCAGGCAGGGGGAAGCAGGACCCCACCTCATGGATTTCAGCTCACATGGTTTATTCTGCAGGAGCCCAAGTGGCCCAGGGTGTCAGGTCAGGACTGGGGAGATGAGAGTTCAGCCACAGGTGACTTTGAGCCAGTGACTGGTTTTAAGGCTCACCTACCCCACAGGGTTGTTGTTGAGAATAAAATTGGGGGAAGAGAATCATGTGCACTGCCCTGGGCGTTATGGCGGAGGAGGGCAGGCTGGAAAGGCAATAAATTAATGCTCCTGGCCTGCTATCAGCCAGTGCTTAGAGGAGTGACTTACAGCTACAATTAAGATGACAAAAAACAAGTAGGTCTGCATGCCAAATGAACAACTCATTTTGCTTGAGAAAAAAGGAGAGAGACAGAGAGAGAATTGATGTGTGTGGATAACACTGCAATACTTGCCATATAATAAAAGGAGAAACCACAAGACATCTTCTCAAAGCACGCTGGTTTTCTGGGCAACCTATTTTTCAATCGATCTGAAGCCTGCCACTTTAAACCTAGCAGAGAACAACCCCCACCCACCCACCCCTCACAATTTGCTGAAATGAGTTTAAACCCCTCTGCCTGCAGCTGCCTGCCACTCCACGACTAAGAATCACTGGCAGGAGAGAAAGCAGAAGAGGGAAAGAGGGAGGGAGGGAAAGAAGGATTTATAGATGCCGGGGTATGTATGTGTGTGTGTACACACACAAGCATGTAATGTTTTCTATTAGTAAAAGCCTACTAAAAATACCCAGGCCTGAGCATTTGGTTGGAGGCAGGCGCAGCTCCACTTCCAGATGCCAAACTGCATTTCATGCGCCTGACTTCCTCCTGCTCGCCGTGACAGGATCTGTGCCGGAGGCCCAAAAGCACCATCAAGCTAAAGATCAAGAGGCTGCATCTTGATTTTAGCTCAGTCTCATCCCTGCGCAGCTGTGCCGCGACCACAGCGGAAGAGAGGCTGGAGTTTCTCTGGGCAATGCTGCAGAATCCAGGCTCCATCCCCACCCTGCACTGGCTCCCCCCCAAATAGAAGAAAGAGCCAGGATGCAGTTCTGCCCTGGCTGAGTGCATAGCTGTCAAGTGTCCCTTATTTGAAGGGACAGTCCCTTATTCCAGCACCATGTCCTGCTGCTGTCCCTTATTGATGGATGTCCCTTAAATGATGTCCCTTAAATTTCAAAGGAAGCAGCTCCTCTCCCTCCCTCCCTGCCGGCCAGGGAGGAGGGAGGCTCCAACTGTGTTGCTTGGCTGTGTTGCTCACCCAATAAGAAGTCTAAGAATGATTGGGGGGTGGAGCTTGCAAGCCTTGTGTGTGGCTAGTTAATGCAAGCTGAGGAGGTTTTTGAATGCTGGACGCCATGTTGTTGCACGTGCTGCTGCAAACTTTGCAGTGCAAAGCCAGGCCAGGGAGCCATCTTAAGTTGAGGCTGCATAGGCCTTGTGGTGCATGTGATTCAGATTCTATTCAGTTGAACCTTTGGTTACAAAGTTGGTTGGACAGTGTTCTTGAAGCTACCCAGCATGAGTTTGACCAGACTGCATGAGGACAGGAAGACTGGAGTGCCTGGAACAGGTGAGGCTGCAGGTCCCTTATTTTGGCTGCTGGTCCCTTATTTTCAAATCTGTAAGTTGACAGCTATGTGAGTGAATTTTCTTTCTCTCGTACTCTGCCCATTCCATCCACAGAAGTGGAACAAGAAGAGAAGCAGACACAGGGACTGCAGGTGGCAGGGATGTATCCCCCCCCACACACCCCAGATGTACTTTCTTCTTTACTAAATCCTCAAAAGTGTCCACCAGCCAGAGCCAGGCGGAACATACTGCCTTGGGGCAGAGCCAGACGCATAACAGGGGCTCAGTGCTCCCCACACCCAACAACCCCATAGCCAAGCACACATCTGAGTGGTGACGGATCAGGTATTGTAACGCAAAAACTCTGAGACTGGTCAGCTGCAGAGACCTGGCCAAAGGCAACAAATCAAAACGCACAGAGGTTGAGAGAGATGAGCCAGGCAGGGCAGGGAACCCTCTGGAAAACTTGAACATTGTAAGGAACATCCAGTTATGTCAGCATTCTTAAGCATAAAGCCCCGTTTTAAAGCTGGGGGGGTCAGACACCCTCAGGAGATACTCATAGATGCAAGTCATCCCAATGCAGATGGCTGTGGGGATGGGGAAGGTGCAGGAGGTTACAAGCACCACCACACCTGAGCCACCGTGTGAACATTTCAGCTACCCAATGGATGCTTCTCTCCACCTGCTCAGTTCCTTTGGCTTCCCTGGTTGCTTACTCACCATAGAGCTTCAGGTCCTTTCCTTCCGTGGTGATGGAGAGCTTCAGCTGCCCTAGAGGAGACAAGAGGGGCTATGACTGAGAGTGTACAGAGAAGCTGGACTTGGAATCTGGGAGACACTGAGAACCACCTCAGGCAGAGACTCGCTAACTGGCCTCAGTTGCTCACCTGTGAAATGGGAACAATGGGAACTTGCATTAAATGCAACTAGATATGAAACTAGGGGCAGCTATCTGGCTTCCATCAGAATCCAGAAGTTTTCTCTCTCTCTTTCTCTCCTGCCCACACAAATTATGCATCAGAGTCAGTTCTCCTGAGGAGAGGCATAAAAAGTCCTACTGGGTCAGTTCAAAGGCCCATCCAGTCTTGTTCTCACATTGGCCAACCAGCTGCCCCAATGGGAAGCCCAAAAGCAGGACATGAGCACAACATCAACTTGTATCCAGAAGCATACTACTGTCTCCAACCATTGTGGCTAGAAGCCACTAACAGTCTTATCCTTCATTAATTCGCCTAATCCTCTTTTAAAGTTGGTGGCCATTGCTGCCTCCTGTGGCAGAATTTAAATTTGTGCTGTGTGAAGAATCGAAGAATCATAGAAGCTTAGAGTTGGAAGGAACCCCAAGGGTCATCTAGTCCAATCCCCCTGCAGTGCAGGAAACTCAGCTAAAGCATCCATGACAGATGGCTATACAACCACTGCTTAGAAACCTCCAAGGAAGGAGAGTCCACCAGTTTCTGAGGGAGCCCATTCCACAGCCAAACAACTCTTCCCATCAGAAATTTATTCCTGATGTTTGTTGGAATCTCCTTCTTGTAACTTGAATCCATTGGCTTGAATGCACTGGATATTTGAAGTTGGCTCTCATATCTCCTCTTTTCCTGCTAAACTTACCCAACTCCCTCAACCGTTCCTCGTGAGGCTTGGTTTCCCGATCACTGATCATCTTGGTCACCCTCCTCTGCACATGTTCCAGCTTATCAGTATGCTTCTTAAAAAGTGGCACCCAGAACTGGACACAGGACTCTAGGTGGGGGTCTGACCGAGGCAGAATAGAGTGGGACTATTACTTCCGTTGATCTGGACACTATACTTCTGCTGATGCAGCCTAGAATAGTGTTAGGCCTTTTTTGCTGCTGCATCACACGGTTGACTCATGTTAAGCTTTTTGTCCATCAAGACCACAAGCTTTAAGAAGTGCTTTCTTTTGTCTGTCTGTCGATGCCCATGAGTCCTAGAGTTAGGAGACAGGGAGAAAAACTTTTCTCCATCTGCTTTCTCCACTCCATGCATAACTTTGTACACCTCTCTCATGTGGCCCCTTGCTAGCATTTTCTAAAGCAAAAGGCCCCGGATGTTGTAATCTGAGTCACTCCAGCCCCTTCCTTTTCCAAATCTACAATACCCTTTCTGTGGTGGCACAACCAAAAATGTGCAAGCATGGCTGCACCATAGATTTGTATAAGGGAATTATGACATTGTCAGTTTCATTTCTAGTCTCTTTCCTAATGAGCCTGGAGAGAACCAGTAGGACACTCTGAATGCAGACACTATAAGAAGGACAGGGGTTGTTGTGGGTGATGATACTGGACCCCAGGAGCAACTGAGTGCTGGGGACATTCTTACATCCCCCTGACCCAAATGCTCAAGGTGGTTATGAGATGGAGAATGAAGCCAAGGAGGCCTCCAACATAGGAAATGCTGTAGCAACAGGTGGCTTCCATTACTGACACATAGACTGGGTGCATATTTTTCCCAATCATGACAAAGACATAAAACTTATAACTACTCAAAATATCCAACGTGGGTAACAACAATTAGAATGCAATAAGATGATAATAACAATAATGAACCACAGTAAGATCCCCCCCCAGATAATAAGCAAAACATGAAGAGCTAAAACCATAACAGGGAATCATCCAAACCAAGCCAGCAGGAGTCGAAAAAACAAACTAAAGAAACACCCCAGAACTCCACAAAAATATCAAAAGAACCCGTGCACACTTTTGTGGTTTGCACATGGTGTGTGTATGTTTATGTGTGCGCACTGTTTGCAAAACAAAGCAAGTCAGCAGTTTGCTTTTTAACACTAGGTTAAGGATGGCTCTGATTTATGGCTTGCTTTAATAAGTGTCAAGGCACCCTCATTTTATGATTAGTCTTCCCTCTTCCTCCTCCTCCTCCTCCTCCTCAGGGCACACAGCAAAGATCCATGGGAGACCAGTGCGTGGAGGGTGCCCCCTGGTGGGCAAGAGGAGGCAAGGCCATTCGTGCTGCACCCAGGGCCTCAAATATCCAAGGATGTAACAGAAGGGGGAAGTGGGGAGAGGGTGGGGGTGATATATATAACTGGATCAGAAAAAGAGCCCATTAAGCCCAACATCCTTTCTCCCAACGGAGGCCAGCCAGAGGCTCCGATGGCAGAATTCACAGGCAGTGACAGCCGTCCCTCATTGTAACCATGCAGCATCTGATTGACTGCATCTGAACTTGCAGGTTCCATTTCGAAGCCATGGCTGACAGCTATGGAAAGATCCTTCTCTCTCCGTCTCCTGCATGAGCTTGTCTTAAGCCTTTCCAAAAGCCACCTAAACTAGTGGTTATCTCTGGTGACAGACAGCTTCATATTCAACTCTCCACAGCATCCATGCATGGTTTGTTGCCATTTTTTTTTAATTTTCCAGCAGAAACCCTCCTTCATAAAACAGCAGCAGGCAATGCTGAAATTCAACCAGGAAAGCTTTCTCAGGTAGAAAGATGTAGTGGGAGATTGACGGCCTCCTCACCTGTTTAATTTCTACCATTCACACACCTGCGGGGGGTTGGGGGGGGGAAGCCCCATTACAACCCTTTCCTGCAACTGGGAAATGAATAGAGGTGGCAGTGCATGTGTCTCTGAGAATGAATGAATGTGGCTCTCTGTGTGGCCCACGGAGAGAGGCAAGCGCACACCCAAATCATTCTGAAGCAGGGGCCAGTCTGCGCCCCCTCTGGAAGGCCTGCCACATCTTGGATTCTTCTCATTCACTAGTGGGGTATACTCTGAGTTCAGAAGTTGTGGGAACGAGCCGGTCAACAGAACAAAGGGCCTGCTGTGAAAGCGGAATGGCGCTGACCCAGCCAAGCGTGTCTGGCAGATCCTGCCAGCCAACAACCAGGCCTAGAAAGGAAGAATTTGCCAGGAGCAGAACCCCCTCCCAGGAAACAAAGCCAGCGGGGCAGGGAAAGGAGCATGAGAAATTCCAACTTACAGGCACCATTAGAAGCCCATATTCATAAGCACAGAGACTCATGTGTGGCTTGCAAGCAAGTGCTGAATCCCATGTGTTTAATACTGAACTCCAGGCAAGCGGACGTGGAATCATAAACAACGACAGACGAGGCTGGAGTACCTACATCTGCACCAGAGCTGAAGGACATCCTGTTTCACATTTCACATGGCTTTAGTTCCCCCCTGTAAGCAGTGCCTCTGCCAGGGGTGAGCCCAGTCCTGTCCAGGCTCAAATCCGTTTCCATCTGCAAGGCTGAATTCTAAGCCAAGAGTTGGTTACATGAGTGTAAGGAGATCCTCACTGCTGGAACAGACTGGTACTGAGGTAGACAGCCTCTGGACATGGAGGCTCCATTTAGCCAGTCATGGTTAAACTGATTCTAAAAGGTCAGCTCTGAAGATGTACTAAACAAAAGAGGGTCCTCTTAGCCTGCAGAGAGCTCCTGCCTTTAAAATTAACATAAAGGAGACCCCCCCCCCAGATCAGAGGACACAAGCTTCAGCCCAGCACCTCTCTTGCTAGAAACTGGCTGGTAGTCTAGAGGCCTGGTCTTCAGCTGGTGGGTCATGGCCTGATCCAAGCTGGGTCACAACAGGAGCCCTGCCACCATACAGATAGAAGCACAGTAAAAGGCTAGGAAATTGCTCCCCAAATGCATGTTTTGGTCAAAAACGGGCCCTGGGTCTGAAAAGGGCAAAGATACCTGACTTAAGAGATTGGACAAATTATCCCTCTTTCTATGTGGAAGTAAATCCCATTGGTTGACGTGGTGCAGATTCACAGGGGGTCACTGCAAAGTCCTGGCACAGCAGTGAGGAAATGGCATGAGCCCTCCCCTGCGTGCCGCACAGGAAGGTCCCGTGTGCACAGATGCTGTGAAGGGGAGCTATGAGCGGCTGCAGCTCCCTGCTTAGAGGGACACTCCCCACCCCCTGCGCACACACGGAGGGCAACTGAGCAGGAGAGTTCCTGCCCTTGCCCCTGAAGGAATCCACAGCAGTCAGGCAGGTGGGAGCGTTGCCACAGCCTGCCTCTGCTGCAAGGGCTGCACACAGGCTCCATCCCCTGACACCGGATACAGAGACACCAACAGCAGCACCTCCCACCACACTCCCCTCCTGCCTGCCAGAACAAGGGACTCCTGCTGGCAACAAGCTCTGCAGCCACAGCAACAAGCTCCACGCTTCCCCACCCCAACTCACCAAAGGTTTTCACATAGCAGGGAGGCTCCAGCTGGTCGACTGACCTGACACAGAGGGAGGCTCGGGGGGCAGCTCCGGGCTCCATCCCCCAGCCACCCATCCAGCCGAGCACCCCGGCTCCTCCACTCTCTCCTACTGGAGGCACCTGCTATTCCAGTCACTGGGCTGAGCCAGGCAGCTTCAAAGAGGCTTCAAAGTCATTTCCTCGGAGGAGGAAGCAGCTGCTGGGGCCTAACCGCCACTATTTGAACAGGACAAAAGGCACCACTGATGCCCATTGGTGGATTTGAAAGCCAATCTGCACCTGCCCACACCAGAGAGCGAGAGAGAGAGACACCCCGCCTTGAAGGCAAAGTACAAAATTGCACCGCCAGCATGTGTCTGTGGGTGTGCACCACATTTAAGTGGTGTGGGTGTGTGCATGCACGTACATTAACAATTTTCTTTAGAATTATAGCAATTATTTACTCATCTGTGAGGATACGAGTATTCTCCAACGCCTGTTTTCTAACTCCCCGATGCCGGAAAGAACACAAACAGTCACAGCTTGATTTCACGCACTGCTAACACTGGCTTTACGGAAGCTTCTATGGGGCAGGGGGGCGGGGTGGGGGCAGCCAACAGGTCCATCATCAAACCTAGTGTTTGTCTCCTGCAGGGTCTCCTGCAGCCCCTGCTCACTTGGTCCTTTTCCATGGACCTTTTTATGCCTTCCATCTACTCCAGCACATCGTCTGCTCTCTGCCTGGCAGTAGCTCTTCAGCCTCGAGAGAGGGAGGAAGGGAGGGAAGAAAGAAGGAAGGGTCTTTGTAGGAATCCTTTTAAGCAGCAAGCTTTCTGCCTTACAAGATGCTGAGTGTACATCCTTAGAAACGCAACACTTGAAATGGAGCAGGGGATTTTACTTAGGCTCTGCAAAGTCCTGCCAGGGCTCTGCTCACCTGGACTCCGCTTGCCCCTGCTCCCCTTTTGCAATGTGCTTCCAAGCCAGCCCCCAGCCCACTTCCACCTACCAGGACCTACCCTTGCCTCTAACGCAGGAGTGGCTGATCTTCCTCCTCCGGTTCTTCTGGAGCCTCTCCAGCGCCTTCCCCGGCGAAGTTTGAGCTCTGGCAATGCTGCTGCTGCTTTCTGGAAGATGTGCAGGCCCCTGGCCTTCCTCCGCACAGGTGTCAAGCTCCATACCTGCAGGAAAAGCAGAGCTCTGAGGAGAAGCTTGCTAGGTAGAAACTGACAGCTGCTGGTGCCTTTGGTCACGGTCACTATCTGAATATGCAGGAGGTGGAACTATTATCGCAGCCTTTCCGGACAGTATTATCAACCATCCTGTGTCAGGCTGCGGTGGGGACCTGAGGGCGAAACTCTTGCAGGTGGCCGCATTCTATGGGTCTCCTCCCTGGACACCCACCCTCACTTTGTGGGTCCTTCCAAGCGCTCACAGGGACTCAAGATCCTTTTTCCGCTGTTGCTTTTATTTGCCAATGGCTATTTTCATCCTTGTGGTTTATTATGATTTGGTGAATTTTATTGCTTTTGTGGATTGCTGAGAGCCGCAGAAAGGCAGGATACAAAGAAAGGTGGGTGGGAAGGAGAGAGATCAGGTGGGCTACGAAGCAGGGCTCTGGGCCCATCCACACTGGCGTGCGTCCCATGATTAATAGTATTTTGTATCAACCTATTACGATGAGTCTGATTGGGGTTTTTTATTTCCTTTTTTTGTCCTGCTCCTTTCCCCAGGAAAACTTGCAGCTGACTGCTGAAACAGAGCAAAGTCAATCCATGGAAAACTCAAAGAAAAAATTATTCCTGTTCTGAACATGTCCTAAAATAGTTCCTGAACGGGACTCTGCATGCTTTCCCGGGAGCTGTGTTGTGGGTGATCCACTCCCACCTCCTTTCCTTCTTTCTCTGCCTTACCCTGCAGGGTCTTTCCCCCAGTTTCCCCCCCTCCAGCTCTGAGCAGCACACTTAGGGTTTTCTTGGCACGCTTAAATCTTTTATTTTACTTTCCCCTGTTTAGTGTTTATATAAAAATCAAACGACATACAGGTAAAACGTTGCGTTCCTGCTCATTTACTTTTATTGCAATAAGTATTGAATGATACACATTGGGAGGGTCACGGCTCCTTTTGTTAAGGTCAAAGGATTGCCCAATTATCTGGTTTTCTGACTCTCTGCCACAGGTGGGCAGAGCTGAAGGTGGAGACATTTGATTAGAGGAAGAATGAAGAGGGAGGGAAACATGGGGCCTTCAGGGCTCTGACCCCTGACCATTAGGTCCAGTCGTGGCCAACTCTGGGGTTGTGGTGCTCATCTTGCTTTATTGGCCAAGGGAGCCGGCGTACAGCTTCCGGGTCATGTGGCCAGCAGGACTAAGCCACTTCTGGCGAACCAGAGCAGCGCATGGAAACGCCGTTTACCTTCCCGCCGGAGAGGTACCTATTTATCTACTTGCACTTTGACGTGCTTTCAAACTGCTAGGTTGGCAGGAGTAGGGACAGCGCAAAGGGAGCTCACCCCGTCGTGGGGATTCGAACCGCCGACCTTCTGATCATCAAGTCCTAGGCTCTGTGGTTTAGCCTACAGCGCCACCCGCGTCCCCAAGGAAGACTTAAGGGAAGAACCTCCTGGAATCCCAGAGAATAGCTATCAATTAGACCAGCTTGGGATCAAGGGACACATGGCATGACCTACTGAGTGGTAGCTCCTTATCATCTCTTAGCTCATAGTCTTCGTGTGTGGGGGGGGTGTATACATTTATTTTTAATGGAACTATTCAGCATAGGATACAATAAAAACAGATTAATCTAAATAAAAATGAAAAAAAAAATCCAACAAAAAGAGAGAAGAAATACAAAGCTCTCTTGTCTCACCTGGGAGCTTCCCTTTCCTCTCTCAGCCTCCAGGGACTCATTTTTCTACACACCCACCCACCCACACCCTTCAGCCAGACAAGGGTGCTTGGAGTGGTTTCTAGACAGCCCCTTGGATAACCCGCTCTGCGTCCCTTAAATTCTCCCGCCTTCTCTGCTCCACCAACCCACCCGCAGCATCTCTTGCTTTCCTTTTGGCCTGGTCGACATGCCACTGTGTGTCTCCTAGAAACTCCCTCCATCTTTTAGGCACGGCTTCCTGACGCTGCCTTTTTACTGCATTCTTTGGAGTTGCCAACTGCACAGAAAAACAAGAGCTTTGCTTGCTCCTGCAGCCATGATTGGCATTAGATTGATGTGCAGCAATGAGCATCAAGCCTAAGAAATTAGGCAGAGCCTGCTAGAGCAGGACCAAAGCCCATCTAGTTCAGGATCTTGTTCTCACAGGGGCCAACCAGATGACCGCTGGAAGCCCACAAACGGGATTCAAGCACAAGAGAACTCTCCTTTCCTGTGGCTTCCAGCAACTGGTAGTCAGAAGCATGGCTGCCTCCAATTGTGGAGGCAGAGTATAGCCATCCTGGCTAGCAGCCTCCAATAGCCCTCTCCTCCTCCATGGATTGGGCTAATCCTCTTTTAAAGCCTTCCAAGTTGGTGGCAATTACTGTCTCCTGCAGCAGCAAGTTCCATACTATGCATAATTTTACAAACTTGGTTCGAGCCTGGTGCTGATGATGCCAAGGTCGCAGGTTCAATCCCTGTGAGGGACAGCTGCATATTCCCCCAGAGTCCCTTTCAACTCTGAAATTCTACGGTTCCCAAACATTTCTCTCCTCACCCCCCACAGACCACTTGAGAAGCACCTGATGGTCTAGGCGGACTACGTGTGATTTTTCTACCTGTTGTAGCAATTGTAGCCTGCCAGCCAGTGCTAGAAGCAAAAACTGCATTTTTACAGACCTGCTGCAGACCCCCTGCATGAAGCTTACACACCACTGGCAGGGTCCATGGACCATAGTCTGGCAACTCCTGCTTTAAAATGCTGGACAGCGCACAAAGCCTTACTAGGCCATAGTCCCACTATTCACTCCATTTCGCAGATGGGAAACCGAGGCCAAGAGCAACTCACCTCATGAGTGCCTGGAAGAGAAGGGTTTTCATACTGGTGTCAAGGGAAACTCCGGGTCATCAGACCAGCATCCCACTTCCCCATCCCCCTGTGCTGCTGCCTTGTTCCAAACGCCAGACCTTGGATTTGCACAGCTACCTCCTTGCAGAAAGCAGGGTTATATTTAAAAACAAACTAGCAGCCAAGCCTGAGGACCTCAAGTTCAAGCAGATCACACCAGCCTCCCCAAACAACTGTCGCCAAGCAAAAGGGGCACTTACGGAGGGGCCACCTGGGACCTACCTTCAGACGAGGCAAGTGAGCGTCTCGTAGAAGAACCTGCCTGCTCTCCAAGGAATGAAGGGATGAAGCTGCAGGGAAGCCTTTTTGCACTGGGACTGTCTGACTAGCATGGATGGAAGCCAGTGGGGAGGGAGGGAGGGAGGGAGAAGACAAGGAGAATTAACAACTTCGAGGGGGAGGAGTCCTGGGAAAAGGCTCTTTTCCTCAGAAGGGTAGCGTTGCCAAGAGAACCCCCAGCAAGCCACGAGGACTTTGCCCCTCAGAGCCTGGGAAGCAACAAAAAAGGGCCAGTTAGCAGGCAGTTTTTGATAACCTGCCTCCTACCTGGATAACCTGCCTCCCCCTTCTCCAGTCCAAGAACAGCATAAATCATTTGCCAGGACCTCCGGTCAGGGACGTTAACTCCATCATAGCACAACTAGGGACCTTTTTTACCCAGGCACATCAAAAATGGCAACTGCCAAAAATGGTTATGCCTGGGAATCTTCCCAGGGTTGCCAGAACTGGAGGCGCATGGGGTATTTTGGTGTTTGGTTTTTTGGCTGGACTGTCAAACGTTATTTGTCCAAAGCTACTTGGATCACTGAACTGAACAAGGAGTTAGAGAGGCCACAAATCAAGAATGAGGAACCAACTTAAGTCTCATTTGCAACGGACAGTCCTGTCTGATGCCAAGAGACCAAAGCACAGGAGGAGGGTGGGGGTGGGGGGATTAGAAGCAGCAACTTGGAGGGAGGGAGGCAGGAGGGGCCTCTGTCCACAGCGGCTTCGCTTTAGCAGGGCTGCCAAAAGAATCCCCAGCATGGAGCAAAGGTTTGGCCTCTTCTGAAAACCTTTCCGCCAAGGCCAAAATAGGTGCTTGGATGGGAGCCAGGGGGCAGGATGTGAAGCTCTTTCCTCCAGCAAGGGTCTTTCAACTTCTTCCCAAATGATCTGGAGTTTGGAGGGCAGGGTGAGGGGGTTGAGTTGGCAGATTGTTCAGGGTGGTAAAAAAAGGAGAAAGGGGTCACAAAGAGCTCCAAAAGGGTCTCTCCAAACTGGGTGAGCAGGAAATGAAAAGGGGCAAATACCTTTTGATTCCATTCCATGTAGTGATGCCCATTTGGGGAAACTTCATATATATAAGGATATGAACTGGAAGTCACCCCCCCCCCCGGAAGGAGAACTTGAGCTCCAGTGCCAGCGATGAAAAAGGCAAATTCCACACAAGGGATGCCTGGAAAAGCACTGAAAATAGAACCGTCAGCAGCTTAATATTCTTGCACAATTCTGTCATGGGACTATGCTTGGAATACAGCATGCAGTGCAAATGTCAACAGAAACAGTTGTTTGGATGGGCAGGGCAGGGCTGGAGCCACGAAAGGCCTCCCTGTCCATTTGTGCACAATAGTTGTTTTTAAAATGCACTGGTTCACATTGTGACATGATAAGTCAAACTACGTATGCGACTGTCCTGCCTGCCCTTCCAGGAGCTCCCACCCACTGTGTGGCTCCTCAGTAAACCATGGCTTAGCTCAGGTTGTCATCCAAGCTCAGGTTCGTGGTTCTGCTCTCTCCTCCTCAGTCACAAGCTGCAGCCAAGAACAAAATAGGGAAGAGCAAAGTGGCTGCCATCTCCTCCCAGGGAGCCTGCGCCGCCATCCTAAGCCATGAGAGAAGAGGGTCATTATTTCTAAAACCTCAAGATGTTCCTAGTCTCCTCCCTGAATTTCCTACTTCTCAGAGCAGCAGGGAGAAACAAAGCCTGGCTTCACCTGCTTTGTGTTAATTCATTGCCTTATGCAAGAATTTTATCCTACAATCAATGGAAACCGAGTGCTTGCTTTTTCTATGCAGCCCACCCACAATATAGATCAATCACATACTTTTCGCCCTGCCCCTGAAAAGCACTTCTTGAGAAACTGGTTCCATTCCAGAAATAAAAGCTCACTGCAGATTGATTTTGTGTTACTCTGCAGTGTGTCCACTTGCAAACCGATGTAGACAGTCCTACTGGCTTAGTGAAATGGTGGGTGGCCATATAGCAGGACTGCCACCCCCTCTTCCTTCCTGGGACACGTGCAAAGAGGGAAAGGCGTGCATAACCTAATCAGGGGGAGCATTTCCAAATGCGTATCAAGCAGCCACACTCACCCTTGCAGACGGCAGGATCGGATCATGCTAGGATCAATCTAGATCGAAAGTGGTATGTTGAGGACGAGCATGAATGACTCTGGATTGAGGAAAAACTACATTTCTGGACTACAACTGGGTTAGAGTGTAGGTTGCATCTACAGTAAACCAGGCTTTTCAACAGCCACTGTGTCCCCTGGTCGCCTGTGGAGAAAAAGGGGTCTTCCAGGCAAAGACATTTTTGAAATAAGCTAGTAAGAGTTGGTCATTTCCCTTTTTATTCCTTTCAGGCCACCCATGTGCCACAAGCGATTCAAACAGGTCGGATGGGGCAGACTGGGCTAGTAACATTTTCCATGAGCTAGCGACTTTTGTGGACTCGCTTGCAAGACTCAGACCAAGCAACTATGAGAAGACAAAGGTGGGAGAGCAGTGCACACTCTGCAGAACTGGAGCAGAATAATACAGTGGTGCCCCGCAAGACGAATGCCTCGCAAGACGAAAAACTCGCTAGACGAAAGGGTTTTCCGGTTTTTTGAGTCATTCCGCAAGACGAATTTCCCTATGGGCTTGCTTCGCAAGACAAAACGTCTTGCGAGTTCTTGCGAGTTTGTTTCCTTTTTCTTAAAGCCGCTAAGCCGCTAATAGCCGCTAAGCCGTTAATAGCCACTAAGCCGCTAAGCCGCTAATAGCCGTGCTTCACAAGACGAAAAAACCGCAAGACGAAGAGACTCGCGGAACGGATTAATTTCGTCTTGCGAGGCACCACTGTACATGCAACTGCGTTTCTGAGGGTTTAATAATAATTACTGCCGGAATGTGACTTCTCCCTCGACAAAAGCAGATACCCACCCGCCGCCCGCCCCTTTGCTGTGAGCTTAGTCTATCAAACACATTTCATTCTCAGTTTTCAAGTTTGGTTTATTCTCCAGTGTTCTTCTCAGGCTACTTCATGCACCTGATGAAGTGGAAGATCCTAAGGTGTGACCACCCTTCCTACCTTTGCGCTGTTATAAGAAGCTATTCTCATAGACTTTTCCTCTGGAGACAAGGCCACACAGGCAGGAAAGTGGAAGAGCTGGGATTTTAATGATTCCAAGTCCAAGAAGAGCAACCAGGGATCCCCATAAAGGGGAATAAAAACCCATTTCTACGGTAGGCTGCTGCCTACACATGCCCCCCCCCCCGCTGCCTTTTCACTTCAAGCCAGGCCTAGAGCTTAATCGCTGGTCTCAGACATGAGTGGGGAGGGGGGAGGAGGAGGAGGATTTATGGACTGGAACTGAAAGAGGGTCTTCTCTTGTTTCTGAGCCACTCTCTTGAGCCAGAACTCTCCATCAGCTGTGGAAGAAGAGGAAAAGAGAAACAGAGTAAGGCACAAGGACAGGGATGCACACAATGCTGGCTTCCTGGTCATGTGATCAAAACTTGGCCCCCTGAGGATATCCAACATGAGGAGGGCAGGAAAGGTGTATGGGAGGAGGAGAGTCTCCCTGTGACCGTGGGGCTGGTCAGTCCACTTGAGGATCAAACCAAGGATCTACTGGGCTTCACTGCAACTTCCTTATTTTAGAACATCTCGGACTCCCTGGCCATCCAATGGTCCAACTGCTTGCTGAGATGGGTGTCCTGCTACTGAAGCATTCGAAGAAACTTGTTGTTGTTGTTGGACATATCTAGCTAAATCCTACTTGAAGCAGACCCATTTAAATTGACAGACCTCAGTTGGTCAGGCCCATTAATTTTAATAGGTCTACTCTTAGCGGCAATAGCACTGGACACAAACCTATGTCTTTGGCATCCTCTGCCACAGCACTTCCTCTTTGCTCCCTCCCCCCCCCTTCCATTTCTACTTCTGTACTCAAGGTCCTTAAGGAAAACAGCACAACCAAAGGGCAGCACCACAAGGCAGAGACTGAGGAGGCCCAGCAGATCCCTGGGCTGAGTGAAAGAAGTGCTCCTGTGCCTCACAGGACCTGACCTTCCTCTACGCGGCCACTTGCGTTTCCTTCTGCAAAGTCCCCTGGGAAAGAGCTTGTTGTGTGCAACATGCTGGAAAAGAGGCTTATGCTATGTGGATCAACATACAGCAATCCTGCACCTGAACGGCTCTCCTCTTTGCTTTGCTTTTCTTTTCTCTTCCCCTCCACCCCACCCTCAGGCGAATTATTGGTCCATCTGTCATTGCTGTTGTTATTTGACTGCTGGCTTTTCGTTTATCAATTAAAAACAACAACAACCCCAACTCACTAAGCAAAGTAGCCTGCAGAGGTCCATGGCCTGAGCCCAAGGGGCTGCTGGCCTTCTGCCCATCTTTTTTCTCCAGCGCAACCCCAACAACAGCCCTTTGGACCTGGTCTTCATTTAGCCTGTTGTTAAGACACTGCGGAACTTTGAGGGGGCCCGGCCTGCACATTTACATTTTGGGGTGGGGGCTGCCCCTCCCTAGATGGTGTGCCTGCACCCACCTGCCCACCTTTCCATTCCACAGCACAGTGCATGGCAAGAGCTGCCACAAGGCAGAAGGTGCTGGCAGCACTCACCCTCCATGTGCAAAGCGCCCGTGCTGCTCTTGTGCGACTCAAACTTGACCGAGGGCTTTTGCCCATCAGCAGCAGAGGCAGCCGATGCTGGTGACGACGACGGCGGCACCTGTGCTCTGCTGTTTTCTGCAGGCTGAGAAGGAGAATAAGTGGCAGTGATGGATCGCTCTACCCCACCCTTTATCTTGCCCAAGATAGATAAGAGATTTGACTGGGGAACCAAAACACACACCAAACCTAAAGCGTCTGAAATGTCTGCATTTATAGCCCTCATGGCTAAGGACAACAACATCTTTAAAATACCACCACAGTGTCCTCTGAGAACTTTCCCAAAGGCAAAATCTATGGTCTATGGAAGTTCAAAGATGGGGTGGCGGTTATCAGCTGGGGTGAATAAATGAGGTACCCTTTTAAAAATAGTCTGTTATGGCCCGATGGGGGACAGAGTGATGGAAACCTTAATTATGCAGAAGAGAACAGTCCCCCCCCCAAAAAAAATCTAATATCCAGTTAGGGGATACATGTTTCACACCTTTTGCCCAATTTGGGCCATGGAAGACTCAAATCCACCCTGAAAAGGCATGCAATGGATTGAGGAGGGGAATTCACTCTTTTATTCATTATTACACATTACAAAATATTTTCTTTGCTTGTCCTGCACTTCTATATCTTACATTTTAATAATTAACAAAACAAGCCCACCTCTCTAGTCTCTAGCAAGTTGTTCTACCATGTTGCTTTCTCAAAAAACCTATCTTCTTGATTACCACTGTTCAAATTCCACATACCCAGCTGGTGCCTGCATAGGAAATGGAGTTTCTTAACCCACCTGAGAGATCTGCCCTGCTCTGACAGCACTTATGCCTTCCTGGTGGAGCTGGGCCTTGTCTGGGAGGCCACCTCCTCCTCCTCCTCCACTGCAAGGGGGATCCACAACTTCCTGCTGCTCTACCAGCATTGGCATCGGACGCCTGAAAGCCACAGAGTCTAGAGCAAAACCGGAAGACACAGCTCAGTCTTTCCTAGAAAATCTCTTGGATGCCTGCCCCCACAGCTAGATTTAGGCAGTAGCTACAGCTAGAAGTATGCTATCCAAACCTCTTAAGGCAAACTTTAGTTGGCTTGGGGTCCGTCTCAGGAGATTTTCTTTCATGGGAATCTAAAGAATGGAGGGGAAGGAAGAAGAGAAGAGAAGAGAATGCACTTTAGAGCCGATTATTCCTCTGAATGAGTTTCTTGCAAGCCAAATGCAACAAAAACCACCCCTGAGTCAAAAGCAAACATGTGAGATGGAACCTGGTTCTGAGCCGCCAACACATCATGTTTCAAAACCACATGTCAGTAACAGGATGGAGGAAAAACTGGAATAGCATCCTTACCTGGTACGACTTCAAAACGAAACTTCCATTTGGAATAGATAGCTAGATAGATATTTGTGCCTTCTCCACCTTACAAGGGTCTGGTGCAAAGGAAATCAACTGGAGATGTAGAAGTATCATCCAGTTTCCTCTTCTGCAACCCTCCTGCCCCCAGTCCACAATTGCAAAATAGGTGTGTTTTTATTGGGTCAGCCCAAGGGTGGATTCTATGAACCTTTTCATTCCACACAAGGATTTCTTCCCTGGTGGATTTGGTTTTGTCTGATGCAGCTTTTAGGAGACTACAGCTGCACTCACTCCTGGCCCCAGCGGACTCTGTTCCCTCCCACTTCTGACTAAACACGTGTAGGATTGCTTGATGGGCCAATAAATGCATGCAATTTCTTAATGAGACGTCACAGACACACCAAGGTGTGCTGTTGTTGTTTCTGTTATGATTATCACATTTACTCGTCACATTCTACTAAGGTGTCTCAAAGGGGCTTACAACCACAAAAGCACATATCATAAAAAAAATTTAACACACACATAAAAAAGCACATTGCTTGACTAAAAGCGTTCCTCACGCAAAGAACCCACAAAAGTCAGGCTGGGTACTAGAGGCAGGGTGAACTGAGGAACCATCATAGGATTATAATCTTATCTCCCAAAGACTTGCGGATTGTGCTTGTGGATTCTCCTATTCTATATGACTCTGTTACAGCAACAAAATGTTTAATAAATTGCTGCATGTGGAAACTGAAGGCATTTTCTCCCTTTCCACAAAAAGACTGTGGAGTCACTGATGCACATGGTAAAACCTGCATCCCTGCTGAGCACCACACTGCCCCAGAAGCACTGCCTGGATTATGGCATCAGCTGAAGAAGCAATAGGCAGTTGCTCTAGTAAACACAGGGAAGGAAGCCTGCACACCTTTGTCACAGCTTCTTATGAAAGGCCACGTCCCCAGGACTCCAGCCAGAGAATCCCACAAGGGGTCTTGGCAGGTCCGGCAGGCAGATGGTCCCAAGGCCACTGAGGCACTGCAGTGGGGAGGCAGGGGCTCCTCCCCCGGCAGAAGATTTGGAGCCCCACAGGTCTTCAGGGAAAGGCAGGCAGGTAAAAGCTGAAGGGCAAGTCAGAAGCGCTTGCCTCCCCTACCCCACCTTATCCGTGTGTCAAGGATGCCGTAATGTGAAAAGCAACAGTGCTTAAACACAATATAGTAGTACCTCAGGTTAAGAACTTAATTCGTTCTGGAGGTCCATTCTTAACCTGAAATTGTTCTTAACCTGAGGTACCACTTTAGCTAATGGGGCCTCCCGCTGCGTGATTTCTATTCTCATCCTGAAGTAAAGTTCTTAACCCGAGGTACTATTTCTGGGTTAGCAAAGTCTGTAACCTGAAGCGTCTGTAACCCGAGGTACCACAGTAGGAGTTTTGAACATGAGACCATCAGGCCAAAGGCACACCTTAGCTGACTCCCTATAATGATAACATATGGACCCACGCAACCAACTCCCTCCCAGTTACTGCTTACCATTGCACTGGGTGCCTTCTGCACAGTGAAGAGGGACTCCAGCTCCTCCTTCCTGGCTGCCACTTCCCCCCTCCTGTTCTCTAGATGCAGGAGGCTCTTGCAGCGAGGCAGGGGGGGCGCAACAGGAGCCAGCTGCGAGTGACAGGATGAGAAGCTCTTCTCCCCCAGGAGGCTTCCCTTGGGGTCCCTTTCTTTACTCACAAGGAGGCTTCCCTTGGGATCCTTTTCTTTACCTGCAAGGATACTTTAGGGCAAAAACAGCAGCACACGATGAGTATAGAATGGGGACCATACTCTGCCCACCCAGCTGTTGCAGTTTCTGCTTCTCAAGCAAAATTTGGAGTAACTTGGCCAAGCCCCGGAGGACGATGCTGGTGGTGCTTCCAGGCTCATGGGCTTCTTGAGGGTTCTCTTTGCTCTTAGGGGTCAGGATACCAAAGCCAGCGGACCAAGATACAGGCCTGGCTCTTTCAGAGGCATGAGCCCTTGTTAGGGAAATGGTGGTTTAGGTTTAGGCAAATATTCCTACACTGACCTTGGCATATTGGCAGGTTCCTTTGGCTTCTTCCTTAGATGAAGGAGGTAGGGCTGACCACCTGTAGGAACTTTATTCGATTTTTTTCTTTTCTGTGAAATGAGGTAATTCCAGTGGGCAGGAGGGGAGGAAAGCCACAAACACTCTCCCACTGCTCCTACCACCCCTGCCCTTCCCACTCCCTCCCAAAAGCCAGGTCCATCCACTGGCACCTGGCACTCACACAAACACCCTGGAACAGGCAGGCTCTTTGCTCCAAACCCAACGTCACTGAGTATCTGCTGCCACAGAATGCAGCCTGATGGAATCTCCCCCTGGCTGTAGACTTGGAACAGCTTGGAAGTGGGACACCCAGACCTTCCCCTGCCTTTATCAGCAGCCAACAAAAACGTAGCAGGCAGAATGCTCCCTCAGCACTTTCTCCCAATGCCAGCAAAGGCTTCACAGTTACATTTCAGGCTACCATTAAAGGCACAGGAGCCAGACCAGCACACCAAGAAAAGGAAAGAGGCAGCGGCTTCTGATCTAGAAAGCAGGAGCAAGATCTAGGCAGTGCAAAAAGCTCAACTTACCATCTCCTTCTTCTCCACAACCATGAGGGTGCTTTCTGAAGCAAGGTCTTTCACCCGCACTCTAATAAAAGAGAAGCCCCACAGTTAACTTCTTGCAAACTCTCGTCTCTAGTAAGGCAACTTCCTACACCCAGCCCTTCAGCTACCATTGCTGAGGCTATCAGAAGGAGAGAGGAAGGCAGGCAGGCAGGGAAGGGAAGGAGGACTCTCCAGCAGAGAACTCCCCTCTCAGCCAGCCACTGAAACCCTCAGTCAAGCACCCCCTGCCATAATGTCGTTATTATTATTATTATACTCAGCTGAGACTCCCCACTCCCCACAGAGTACGTGGCATTCAGTTTTAATTTTGGATTTTAGTTAGTGTGAGCTGCTTTTAGGGGGCATGACTAGACTGGCTGAAAAGGAGAATAAAGATGTAAGAAATAAATAAGTGAGCAGGATCATTTCCTACAGGTGTCACAGGGTAAGGTCCTCAGGCTCTGTATTTAGGAACTGCCCAGGGGAGTCAGCTTCGCTGCGCCTGGTCTACAGGCCATCGGGGAAGTTCATGCCACTGAAGCCTCCAGCGGCCTCCAGCACAAGGTGCACATGGGGCAATGTGGACCCGCATCCTGCTACCTACCCTCTTGTGGCCGGCTTCTCAGGTCGCAGAAGCCTGTGGCGCCTGTCTGGAACCCATGTGACCACCAAGCTTCCACAGGGGGGCAGGTGTGTGCACAGCCCATGCACAGCCGACTCACTGAAGTCCATCACCTGCACCTATCATATACATGTGGGAAAATGAGATGCTCTATTTAGCCAAATGCCCCCAAAGAGCCAGCTCAGCGTCAGGAGCTCTCCAAGGTTTCAGGCAATGCTGTAAGTAAACAGCATGTGTGAGATAAAAAGAAAGATGTATAACATAAAGACTGTTTTAGGAGTTTAGGGAAGGCTATGAGCTCTCCCATTATGCATAAAGGTAAAGGTAAAGGTACCCCTGCCTATACGGGCCAGTCTTGACAGACTCTAGGGTTGTGCGCCCATCTCACTTAAGAGGCCGGGGGCCAGCGCTGTCCGCAGACACTTCCGGGTCACGTGGCCAGCGTGACAAGCTGCATCTGGCGAGCCAGCGCAGCACACGGAACGCCGATTTACCTTCCCGCTAGTAAGCGGTCCCTATTTATCTACTTGCACCCAGGGGTGCTTTCGAACTGCTAGGTTGGCAGGCGCTGGGACCGAGCGACAGGAGCGCACCCTGTTGCGGGGATTCGAACCGCCGACCTTTCGATCAGCAAGTCCTAGGCGCTGAGGCTTTAACCCACAGCGCCACCCGCGTCCCATCCCATTATGCATATCCAAGCATTATTTGGGCAGGAGATATACAGTGGTACCTCGGGTTAAGTACTTAATTCGTTCTGGAGGTCTGTTCTTAACCTGAAACTGTTCTTAACCTGAAGCACCACTTTAGCTAATGGGGCCTCCTGCTGCCACTGCGCCGCCAGAGCACGATTTCTGTTCTCATCCTGAAGCAAAGTTCTTAACCTAAGGCACTATTTCTGGGTTAGCGGAGTCTGGAACCTGAAGCGTATGTAACCTGAAGCGTATGTAACCCGAGGTACCACTGTATAACAAAAGTTGGGCAACTGCAAGGAAATTAATGAATTTAACTAGCAATTGTGGTGAGTTTCCAGCATCAGCAGGGGGTTGGGCTAGATGGAATTCAAGGTCCCTTTCTAATCCTAAGGCTCTAATTGTTTACAAAGAAATCCCATCGAGCAACTGCAGTAATCAATGCCGTTAAGTGGGCAATCAGAGTAATAAAAATATATAGGAAGTTGAAAAGCAGGAGGTAGGAGCACTCAGGCTACAAGGGGAAAGGAATCGATTGAAGTGCCAACTGTATCCAAAGCTAGGAGGAAATTACCAATTAAAGGGCCAGTGGAGGGGCTGGGGATGGAGCAAAATAATAAACTACCTAAGGGCTGGTAGGCAATGCTTCAGCTGTTATGCTGTGTGAAGTGTGTTGTGGAGCCACTGTTTAGATTTCGCTTCTGGAAGCAGCCAGAGAGAGGGAGGGAGGGAGTGCAGCCTGAAGCAGCCTCTTCCTGGAAGTGCTTACTGCTGCTGAGCCAGCAGGACCCTGGCCATGTGTAAGTTGCCCCTCCTGACCTACTGCCTCTCTCTCCAACCTCCCAACCCACAGCCGGCTGCCCAGCAATCCAGAGAACTCACATTCTCAGCTTGCCTCAAGCCGGTGAAACTTATCGGTGTGAAGTGGGAAGCCCGAGTTTCCATCCTGGAGTTCAGTCCTGGGAAGGGATACCTTTCGGAACTGGAAAAACCACATGGGCAAAAGCATGAATTGACACAGGGCACAACCCACCAGTAAGCTCAACTGTGCAAGCCTCCTTTAAACGTATGGGGTTTCCACAATGATACTGCAACGTATCTGCTCAGCTCCAGTTTGTTTCAATGGGGGTTGTGCAGGCGAGTGTCATGGTAGGTTATATTTCCTGCTATAGATACCTCCTCTATCTGTTGGAGGGGGGGGTGGCTGTCATGAGGATTTTTTGCTAAGGGCACCAAAATGGACCTAATTCATGGGAGCAGCAAAAGAATGCATTAAACATCAGACACCCAAAGCCTGTGATTCCAGAAGCACATATTTATGGGAAATCTCGGTGCGCTAACCTGATTCGTGAAATTGGGGGCATCAAAGCATTGTTCAGGGTGGTATTCGAGTAACTTCTAGAACCTTTGATGCTTGAGATAGTTTTTGAGATGGAAAGCAAACTTTCAGCACATCTTATCTGATTTCTTTGAGAATAGTTGAGGGGAAGGTCCACAATCTTTAGTGTCGGCAGTTCATCTGAAACATGGAAAAACCAAAGAGAAGAGCCCTCCAGCTACAGAAGGAAAGGCAGAAAGGAATGAGTGGCGACACTTCCAGCTTACTGCTGGCAACAGCTATAGGGTCAAACTTGGCTAGTATGGTTTGGCATCCAATCGCTACCAGAAGCATATACATTTAATAACTAATCATCATCACCTTGGGCCTTTTAAACGGTGAGGAGGTTGCTGTTTAAATTGTTAATATTTGTTATTACGTTACATCTTTTATGTTTTTATACTGTAAACCTGTGATCTCCGGATGAAGGGTGATATAGAAGAAGAAGAAGAGGAGGAGGAGGAGGAGTTTGGATTTGATATCCCGCTATCACTACCCGATATCACTACCTGAAGGAGTCTCAAAGCGGCTAACATTCTCCTTTCCCTTCCTCCCCCACAACAAACACTCTGTGAGGTGAGTGGGGCTGAGAGATTTCAAAGAAGTGTGACTGGCCCAAGGTCACCCAGCAGCTGCATGTGGAGGAGCAGAGATGCGAACCCGCTTCACCAGATTGCGAATCTACCGCTCTTAACCACTACACCACACCACAATAGATAAATTTAATCAATAAATTTAGCGTATTGTGCAGGGTGAGAGTTTCTCTGGCTTACCTTCAGGTTCGGGGGAATCTCCCTCCGGAGAGCCAAGGCTTCTCAACATGATCCGGGGCTGCCCTTTCACGATCCTCTGGACTGCCTCCCAGCAAGGAGGGTGTTGGCAGGCAATCATATCACAAATGGTTTCATCCCACTGACTGGCATCGATGGTCGCCATCCTGGCTTTCTAGAGCAGCCTGAAAACAAGCGGAAACAGTGAGCAATTTTTTCAGACAGATTGCTGGCCAGTAACTGTCCTGCTGCTGGTTATAACCCCACTGGGGTGGAATTTGCACACATATAAAAAACGCTGTGGAAACGCTTTTTTTAAAAAAAAAGTTTTGCAAAAGTACAATGAATTTTGCATAGCTCACTGTTACCATCTAGTGTCACATTTGTATATTGCACTTTACAACACTTTTAAAACCTTGTATTTACAGCTGTATAGGTAAGTCTTGGGTCTTTAGTATTCCAGATGCAATTCAATGTGCTAGTTAGGCGCCTGAGTGCTGCCTAAGCCTGAGAGATAACCTCCCCTTCATTAAGATGGGGAGAACCTTCCTGGTCCAGATCAGGTGAGCAGAGATCAAGGCAACCAGGGCATGTCAAGAGGTGTTCAAGCCATTCATTTCCATCCAATAGCCTGCTTATTTCCTGAAGAAAAAATGGCAAAACCTTCCTCTGGTTACTTGCCCTTAGCCTTTGCAAAGGGGAAAGATGGCAAAGTACCGTATTTTTCGTCCTATAGGGCGCACCGGCCCATAGGACGCACCTCGTTTTTTTGGGGGGGGGGAAATGAATAAAAATAAATTATCCCCCCCCCAGCCATGGCCCCAAGCCTTGCGGACACCCACCCGAAGCACGGGGAGCCCTCCGGAGGGCGCCCCATGCTTCGTGCTGCAGGCTGCTGCCCGCAAGCCTTGTGAGCCCGCGGGAACTCCCGCAGGGCTTGCAAGGCTTGCGGATAGCTTCCTGAAGCCTGGAGAGCGAGAGGGGTCGGTGCGCACCGATGCCTCTCGCTCTCCAGGCTTCAGCGAAAGCCTGCATTCGCCCTATAGGACGCACACACATTTCCCCTTCATTTTTGGAGGGGAAAAGTGCGTCCTACGGGGCGAAAAATACGGTAATTTTATTATTAATCAAATTTATATACCGCCCTTCATCCGAGGATCACACAGCACTTTACAGAATAAATAAATACACACCAGCATGCATAAAAACTCCCTCCCCCTCTGTTCAGACGCCTTAAACTGGGCTCTTACTTTGGAGCAGCCATTTTTACTGCATACAGTATAGGCAAAAAATATATTGTATTTAGAAGTATGGAAGAACTTTCATCTATAAAAGTTCTCTTTAGTCCAATGGGACACAATCCAGAGATGCTGGTTGACTCCCTCATCTGCTGCTGGTGAAATCCTGACCTGGCAGACACAACTTTTTAAGAGAGACAAAGAGGGTGCAAGAGAGTCCTTGTTGTGCTTTTTAAACCAAGAGATGCCCAGGGCCGGAAGACCTTGCTCGCCGATCACAACAGCCCCGGATGGGATGGGAAGCTGCCTGGTTCCCGATGGCCTGGGGCTGGTGGCTCTCCCTCCATCTTTCTCTGCTGGCCTAACTTAGCTTGCAGAGTTGTTGTCTGGATAAAACAGGTGGCGTGTGTAGGGGAAGAGCCAATCCCATATGCGTCTACTCAGAGTAAGTCCGCTATCAGGACAATTGTTGTCTCAAGGCTGGCTTTATTCTTTTACCGGTCATCTTAAGTGGTTTGTTTTTGCTACTCTGTATTTTGTTGGTGGTGTTTTGAAATACGCTGTCAGCCGTCTTGAGTCCCAATCTGGGAGAACGGCCGGATGTCTGTAGACATTAAATAAATAAATCCAATGGAATTCAGTGGGGCTTACTCGCAGGCAAGTTAGTGTAGAAATGTGAAAGGTTTATTTAAATATATTGACGTTTGGAAGGAGTTTATACAGAATATAAGGTAAAGGGACCTCTGACCATTAGGTCCAGTCATGACCGACTCTGGCGTTGCGGCGCTCATCTCGCTTTATTGGCGAACCAGAGCAGCGCACAGAAACACCATTTACCTTCCCACCAGAGTGGTACCTATTTATCTACTTGCACTTTGACGTGCTTTCGAACTGCTAGGTTGGCAGGAGCAGGGACTGAGCAACGAGAGCTCACCCCGTCGCGGGGATTCGAACCGCCGACCTTCTGATCGGCAAGCCCTAAGCTCTGTGGTTTAGCCCACAGCGCCACCTATACAGAATATGGTAGGTTTCTAATAATCACATAGGACAATAATATTTATATATACAAATATAATAACGTATGGCACTGTAACTGATTATACCAATTGCATATCTTTCTTGTGTTTTTTGCACTGTTTTCTTTCATCGCTTTTAAAAAAAGTTAGTTTTGAACTGCAATGTTTATTGCATGTTTTAAAATACACACACACACACACACACACAATTTTAGTTACAGGTATTAGGAGCTGGCAGTTCAAACCTTTGGCTACGCTGATATTTGCTGCTCCTCAACATCTATTTGATTTTTTATTGTGTGCATGCGATGGGAATGGTGCCAGAATCATTTTCAGACCAGGGGGCTCTGGGTTCAAATCCCCCGCTCAGAAACGAAGCTTTTGGCTGCTCACCCACCGTGTCTCTGCCTAAGGCAACCTTGCAGAGCTGTTGTGAGGGGGGAGGCAAGGCAGACCCTATGGGGAAAGGAAAAAAGAAGAGTCAACATGTCTGTGATCCCCCTCAGACACGCTTTGTGTCCAGAGACGGAAGAGAAATGAATCCAGTTCCCATTTATTTCACCGGCAGCGTTTGTAGGCTTTTCCTCAGGGAAGAGGAAATGAGTAACAACAAATGAGTAAAGAAAACATGTTTGGAACTACAGAACAACAAAAACAATAAAAAAATGGAGTAGTGTCCAAACTTTTTTTCAAAACTTTTTTCAAAGAGGGCCAGATTTGATGAAATGATGGGCTGTGACGGCCAAGCAAAGTTGTTGACCTTTTTTTAATGATTTAATGAAGTTGTTGAACTTTTTTTAGGATTGAAGGTTTTTTAGGATTTTGCCCCAGGAAATAAACTGCCACAAGGGCTGGATTAAACCGACCGGCGGGCTGGTTTAGGTCCCTGAAACGGAATTTGGACATGCCTGGAGTAGATAAAACCGAAATCTCACCGCCTCAAACCCTTAATCAGGCTTGAAAATGGCCTTGGCAAAAGCCAGAGGGATGATGATGATAATAATAATAATAATAATAATAATAATATTTGTTTATTATTAAATAATAATTTATTTGGCAGATGCAAGTAATCGACTATATGGAACTGGCGGAGATGACTGGCAGAATCCGAGACCAGGGAGAAGAGTCGGTGGAAGAAGATTGGAGGAAATTTAAAATCTATTTACAGAAGTATTGTAAAATGTATGAATGCTGATGACATTGAAATGAAATGAAGGGGTTCTAGCAACAAGATAGATAAAAATTTGAAATTATGAATTTGGAAGGTAAAATAAGTAAGGAAAAAGTACTAGGACATGAATTTGCTGAATTAACTGTTAAAAAGGGATACAAAAAAGGGAGGCGTGAGGAAGTCAGGAAAATAAGTTAATCAAAGATAAAAAACTAGAAAAGAGTGATTTGTGTTTTATCTTTTTGTGTGTGTATTGACTTTTTCTTTTCCCTTGTTAGGTTAAATGTTTGTATTATTATGTTTTATATTTCCCCTGTGTTTTTATTGTTTTTTGTGGCTGTGTTTTCTTTTCTATTGTTAAACTTAATAAAATATCATTATAAAAAAAATAATAATTTATTTAATCTGGGCGGCTTTCAACAGAACCTCAAAAACAGAATAAAACTCCAAACATTAAAAACTCCCCTCGCTCGGGGGTCGCATAATCTTGATTTCACCTTCCCCCCCCCCCCTGCCCCTTATGCTGCCAAGCGGCTCCAGATGGCAGGAGGCAAAGAGGACCCGAATTGAATGGAAGGAGATTTATAGAAACAAGAGTTTGAGAAGGAGAGGAACAAAGTCTCAGAGTCAACCAGCGAGGTGTTTGTGTGTGAGGGGGGGAGCGCTCTGTGCATGCTCAGGGGCTCCTTCGCCCCCTCTCCGTCCTTTTCTGTGAGGAAAAGCTTCCGGGGCTCCCCTCCCCCCGCCCTCGCCCCCTTTTCCCGCCCTTTTCTCCCGCCTTTTTCTCCCCCACCTGCGCTAAGCCGGGCCGCTCTCTGGTTGCTAAGCAACGTCAAGCGCCCTCCCTCTCCCTCGCTCTCTTCCCAGAGTGCACCGCGCGGGACAAAGAGGCTCGGACGCGGAGGCCTCTTAGCAAAGCCGCACGCTTGTCGGCTCCGAACTTCCGGCTCCCCTTCGTCCCGCCGCCATATGCGGGACAAGGGCCGCGGAGGCCGTACTTCTCGGTCTCGTCAGCCTTTCTACGCGGGATCTTCCGACGCAAAGCGTGTCGAGGGTCGCGCCCCCCCCCGCGCCCCATTCCCGCGGCTCCTTCGCGGGCGCCGCTTGCGGGGCGGCGTGAGGGGAAACCACCGCAGAGGAGCCGGAAGCGTCGTTGCGGCGACGAGGCGGCCTCCTTCCCTCCGCGCGTGCGCAGGCGCGCTGCATGCCGGGAGTGGTGAGGCGGCCCCTCTCGGCGCGCCTTCCGAGCGGCCGTTGCTGGCGGCGGCTGAGGCGAGCGGTGAGGGGGCGCCGCGCTCTGTTCATGCTCAGGGGCACCCTCGCGCGGGGGGCTGCGGAGGCCGAAAGGGCCGCCCTCGAGCCCGGGGCGGGGAGCGGGGAGGCCGGGGGCGGGCATTCCGCGACGGCGGTCCGTTGAGGCGATTATTCCCCTCAGGGCCGCCAGCGCGGCCTCCCTGCGCGGGGAGTTCCAAAGGCGCCTGCGGGAACCGAAGGCCTTCTGTCCGTGAGGGGGGCGGGGGCCGGGGGTCGCCTGTCTCGGCCACTTGGGAAAAGCCGCCCAGAGCTGTCAACATTTCCCTTTTTTAAAACAACTTTTTAAAATTCAAAATTAAAACGAAACATATTATCCAGAAACATATCATCCTTATTCCCCCCCCCCCCATTTTTCCTCACTCCCACACAAACCCCCCCCCCCTGGCTTCCCTCAGTTCCAGTCTTTGGTTTCTCTGAGAATGCTTTTTTTCTGCATGTTACACAGTTGTACAGTGGTACCTCTGGTTACATACGCTTCAGGTTACAGACTGCGCTAACCCAGGAATAGTACCTCGGGTTAAGAACTTTGCTTCAGGATGAGAACAGAAATCGTGCTCCGTGTCGGGAGCGGGAGGCCCCATTAGCTAAAGTGGTGCTTCAGGTAAAGAACAGTTTCAGGTTAAGAACGGACCTCCGGAACAAATTAAGTACTGATTATCATCAATAAAAAAGTTTGTGAATGTTTATTCAAAGCCAGCCAAGGAGTCCAGTTCGCTTGGTTGCATCTTCAGATACTTTTTAAAAGGGAAATTCCCTTATTCCGAATAGGATTCCTTGCAAGAAAGGGAAAAGTTGACAGCTATGCATGGGGGGAGAGAGGGGTGCATCATGATGATGATGATGATAATAATAATAATAATAATAATAATAATAATAATAATAATAATTAATTATACCCCGCCCGTCTGGCTGGGCTTCCCCAGCCACTCTGGGCGGCTTCCAGCCAAATATATAACGACAGTAATGCACCAAACATTATAAGCTTTCCGAAACTTTCATAACCCCCTTGGCCTCCGTGTTCCCCCCTTTCCCCAGGCTCCGGGGGCGCCATGGCAGAACGTCCCGAAGACCTGAACCTGCCCAACGCTGTCATCACTCGTATCATGAAGGAAGCCGTGAGTAATAGGCAGCCTCTTGGGGCTCAGGCACACTTCCATGTTTGCCCCTGGGTTTCAGGCAAGAACAACAATTGCATCGTTATTTTCGTTGTTATAAAATTATAATAATAATTTTATTATATTCTACCTACCGGTATAGGGCGGTATATAAACTCAATGAATAATAACAACAACAACAAAAACAACAAGATACCCCACCTATCGGGCTGGGTTTCCCCAGCCCTCCAAAAATACACAAACATTCAAGTAGCTTCTTTTCCTGTTTTTCCGGCCACATTCCCCATGAAAACCCACCGTTTGCTGTTGAATCGGAACAAATATCGATGGGGTTTTCTGTGGCCTTTGTTCAGCAGTACAGGCGGCAGGTTTTTCCAGGGAAAGTGGCAGAAGAAAAACCTCTTGGACCCGTGATTAGAAATTTCAGAGCAAATGGAAGTGTGGATGAGCCCTGTTCTTGGTACTCCTTTTGGCTCCGATGGCTTCTGTTAAAGTTTTGTGTTTCTGTACATCTTACAAGTCCTGTCTGCCTCAACTCTTGTTCTCTCATTCTCTCTCTACTTACCTGCCTTTATCTTATTGCAGCTACCCGGATAACCTGCTTTAACATTTTCTCCGCTGAATGTAACATCCTGTGCCAGCCTTTGTTTGGGTTTTACGTATTTGTCGTGTTTCGTTATATGGTTAAAATTCTGTAAAAATACTTTTGGTGCCGTGGGAGGTATGAGTAAGTGGACAAGATGCTGGGAATCTGGAGCGTTGGAGAAGACAGAGGCGCTAGTGGCTGGTGTGCAAGAGGGAGAGGGAGGGAAAAGACCCTCATCAGTGGCAGAAGTGCAATGTCAGACATGTCTTGATGGGAGTGGGACAGAACGCTGTGGGCAACTGGTGCCTGCTGAATGCAGACGTGACATGGATCTCCCAGGCTTACGCACGCCTCTTTCCCCTCAGCTTCCTGATGGAGTAAATATTTCCAAAGAAGCCCGAAGTGCGATCTCCCGCGCTGCCAGTGTGTTTGTGTTGTACGCCACATCATGGTGAGTGAGTGCTGCTGCTGGTGAGACCCATGAGCCTGACTGGATAAGCTCAAGCCTCTCACCATTTTTACTTACAGTGGTCTGTGGCTAGTGGAACTGGTTGCGGTCATGTCGGTAGGTTTTTTGTGTGTGTTTTTTTTTGTTCACTTGGTCTACAAAAAGTAAAGAGAGCTTAGGCTGTCCCTTCACAGTTGTTCAACACACACCTTTCCTGTGTGACATTTCACAATGCTGACTTGCAATTTATATGTTGTTTATAAGAATAATGACCATACCAGTTTTAATAACACAAACACAAACATAATGCAATAAGTTTGGTGGCGCTCCAGCCTTCCAGTAGCCTCAGCTTCCATAAGATGGACAGCATAGAACAACACACACATTGTTGTATATCAACAAAGGCTTCAGTACAAGTCCTATGGTCCAGTTGATGGGAGAAATTAGGTCATGCTGCTATCTTGCGCCATGGCAAGCCATGCCTCCTCAAAAAAAGTTATTTAAACAATGGTGGTCTTGAAAATTAAGATGTTCGCTTTAGTACCCTCAAAAGAGCTGTGCATTGATATAGGTGCATGTATGTTTTTCATATGGATAGTCACCTGGGGAAAAAACTAAAGCTTTGAAACCACATAGTTGCACTGTGTAGCCATTCATTTTGCTGCTGTTTAATTTTATGAGGGGCAGGAGGAAGAGAATTAATTATTAGAAGTTTATTTTTCCCAGGGAAAAAGACTGGTGGAAGATTTTCACTAGTGACGGGTGAGTAATTTTGCTTTTGCTTTTTCCTTAATTAGTGCCAACAATTTTGCAATGAAGGGGAAAAGAAAGACGCTGAATGCTGCAGACGTCCTCTCAGCCATGGAGGAAATGGAGTTCCAGAGATTTGTTGTCCCCTTAAAGGAATCCTTAGAAGGTAAATGCTCAAGTGTCCTCTGTTCAGCTTCTGGTTCACATTCACCTGTGCCCGGGTGTGTGATGATAATAGCCACTGCCTGGGCTTGCTTTGACGGTTGCTTGTCCTTCTAGCTTACAGGCGTGAGCAGAAAGGCAAAAAGGGAGCCTCCGAGCTAAAGAAAAAAGACAAAGACCAGAAGGGAGATGCAGAAGACCCTGAGAAGAACCGAGGCGATGAGAACGAAGAGGAGGATGAAAGGATGGAGGAGGAGGAGCAAAACGAGGAGGAGGGAGAGGAAGGGGACAGCTAAGTCGCTTAGGATATCAGCTCTGGGCAGCCCTAGTCCACCATCAGAACCAGCTGTGAAGCAGAAGAGGCAATATGGTTCCTGGTCTGAGACTGAGTGGGGATTTGAACTTGGGTTGAACCCCCAACACCACCTGAATCTCTGTGCTTTTCCTTCATTCCAGTACTGGGGATGAGCTTGCACGTGGAAATGGGCTTACTGGATCAAGTGGTCCCAATAGAGCACTGCAGACTTTGGAGGAGATCCTGGATCAGTTACTCTCCTTGGAGTGTCTGCAGGTGGATTCAGCGTTTCTGCCCACATAGGTTCATCAGGATCATTACACGCGTCATTTAATTTGTAACAATTCATTTGTTGGTTTTTTTGTTCATAGTTGGGATTTCCAGGCTTTGTCAGGTGACAGCTGTTCAGGGTAACAGGCTCTCTGCTCTGGTGGGTAGCAGTGGAGACTAGGCAGGTTTGAAGGGGGGCAGAACTGCTAACCACCCACTTTCAAAAGGTGTGGACATTGGGGAAGCCAGCAAGTCATTTTGAAAAGAGCATTGGATGGGATGTGAGCGGATGGAGGGTTAGTCAGAGAAGAACAATTCCTGACCACGCAGCACTGTGAAAACCACATTTAAAAAAATTCTATGCAGTTATTCTCAAAATTGGATAACTTATTAGGACGTTATTTTATATATAAAACAAATAGATGCAGCAAAACAAGTTGATAGCCCAGTTCAAATGGACACTTTAATTGCCAAAAAATGAGATAAAATTGAGTTTGCCTTATGATTAAGGGAAATACAATAAAAACCTCCTTGAGTAAACAGGTTGTATAAAAAAATATTCTGGTTAAGATGTTCAAGAAACAATTGCACATCTATTAAAATACAAGTTGAAACAGTTTAAATTTGTGGGTTTTACCCATATAGTGATTTATCTTCTTTGAATACCTGCAGGCATCAAACTTCTCATCCAAGAATCCAGTTAGAACCCCCCCCCCAAAAAAAAACCCACCCTCACAGTGACATTACCTATTATTTCCCCTGAGCTCAAGGGCGCTTTTGTGTTTACACATCAGAACTCCAAGCTCCTCTCATGGTTGTGGTCTTGCAGGAGCCTCTTAAGCAAGAGAGCAGTCCACGTCCCGTGTGGTGGGGATGGCATTTTATTGGGACCTGGGAAGCCATCCCCCGCCTGCCCAATGCGCTAGACCTCCTCTACGCATCATGCTGCTCACCAGTTGGTGTTTTCTGGATCTCGTTTAGCTGAGCTGCTATTTCCCAGCTGTTACTAGAGAGTCCCTGAGGCTGGGCCATCCTAATACAGTCATACCTCGGGTTACAGACGTTTCAGTTTGTGCATTTTCGGGTTACGGATGCGCCGGAACCTGGAAGTACCGGAACAGGTTACTTCCGGGTTTTGGCGCTCACGCATGTGCAGAAGCGCTGAATCACAACCCATGCATGCACAGACACGGCACTGTGGGTTTGCTGATGTGCCTCCTGCACAGATCACGTTCGCAACCCAAGTGTCCACTGTAGATCTCCCACCTTCGTGGAGGGGGAAAAGGTGCCAAAAGCCTGATTCTCAACAGGAAGTGATCTGCCATGGGGCTGATGTCCATGTCCCCCACTTCCAGACCACCCTCTTCCCTCCCAGTCGAGAAAACAAGGTCCAGAGTGTGTCCTCCCACATGTGTTGGGCCAGTGACATGTTGGGCCAGCCCCCTGAGCCAGTCGCCTCAACATGCATGTTGAAGTTCCCCAGAACCAGCAGTCCGGGAGTCTTCAACACCGCCTCCAAAACCAGCTCAGGCAGGGAGACTGCTGGACAGAACCAGCACAATCCCTAATCTGTCCTGCTTGCCTAATAATAATAATAAAATTATTTATACCCCGCCCATCTGGCTGGGTCCCCCCATCCACTCTGGGCAGCTTCCAACAAAACACTAAAATACAATAACCTAGTAAACATTAAAAGCTTCCCTAAACAGGGCTGCCTTCAGTTGTCTTCTAAACATCAGGTAGTTGTTTGACATCAGGTGGGGGGGGGGCGTTCCACAAGGCGGGCACCACTACCGAGAAGACCCTCTGCCTGGTTCCCTGTATCTTGGCTTCTCGCAATGAGGGAACCGCCAGAAGGCCCTCAGCGCTGGACCTCAGCGTCCGGGGAGAACGATGGGGGTGGAGACGCTCCTTCAGATATACTGGACCGAGTTTAAAGGTTTAGGGCTTTAAAGGTCAGCACCAACACTTTGAATTGTGCTCAGAAACGTACTGGGAGCCAATGAAGATCTTTCAGGACTGGTGTTATGTGGTCTCGGTGGCCGCTCCCAGTCACCAGTCTAGCTGCCGTATTCTGGATTAATTGCAGTTTCCTTCAAAGGTAGCCCCATGTAGAGTGCATTGCAGTAGTCCGAGCAAGAGATAACCATGCTAGGAACACACTCCAGATCCCCCCCTCAACTGGACAAAGCCCACTGCTCCTCCTTAATTGAGGCTGTGCCATGATCTGAGTACCCTTGGTTATACTTTGCAAGGATGGGGCCACTCCTTTGGAAAAGACGATTAGTATGGCGGGTCTGGTATGTATGCTTTCCTCCCTCCCGTATTGCCTCCATCAATAGGTTTGTTCCATAAAACCATCTCTGAAAGTGGCATTGCTGACATGTACTTTCTCAGAAAGTTCATATGGCTGCAACATACAACAGCCCCCACTCACAAACTTCCCACATAGAAGACTAATTATGCACAGTAGTGAACTTAATGGTCCGATCCTGACCTCCCCACATTTTCTTTCCAAAATGGTGCATCTTGCACCCCACTTTCCCCCTACTTCCACAGGGATTTTCATTACATACATTTTATGCCAAAGCTCCCAAAGTAAATTTCAAGTCTAGGAACGTGAGGGAATCATTTTTACAGAAATAAATCCATTTATTTTTTTAACAACATTTTGTTTTTGTGTTTCAAATGAATACAGTACTTGTAGATGGTAAAATTTCGAGAGCAGAAGGAACAACTGGCACTAGATCGCTGAGGATTGCACAGCAGGGCAGAAAACTTAACACCTTTATAAATTCTGGACAGAGATAAATTCAGTATTATTTTTTCACACTAAAATATGGAAGCTATATTCAACACGTGACATTTCTTTTAAGACATGTGTTGTTCAAAATATGTAAAAATTATTTCTTTTCTATAAATTTTGGTCAACATGCTTCATTATAACCTGTTAAAAGTTTTACAAGAGTGTGCAGATAATGATGCCCAACTGTCAAGCAGATGTCGTACATCAACAGCAGCAGCAGCAGCAAAAGCAAGCGAACACTGCACAATCATGACTGGGACTGATTTTAAAAATACATTTTCCCCCACAAATATCACACAGAACCCTGTTCTTTATAAATGTGCCTCTCAAAAGTTTTTTCCCCCCCTCCCTCTTAAGGCTACATGAGAAGACATGTCATAACATGATTTCATGATTAGAACTATTCCTATTTTTAAAATCTCATCTTCGTTAGCGCACACACAGGGCATTGTCCCACTGAGTCTACAGAAGAGTGCAAAGAAGCAGAGCTGACTTTTGCTTTCGCAAGACATCCATTCCCCAACTCCACAGAATTCTTGGAACAGCACCAGAGGGGGGAAGAGTTCCCAAGCATCATACTGATTTTGGTTTCGGCCTGGGACGTGTACCAGGGGGAAGGAAAACCCAGTAATTAAAAGCAGTCAATCCAAATCCACTTCCACGTGAAAAGCACAGGCACTGTGAAGGAATGCAGCGAGAGAGAGGGGGGGGGGATGCTCCACTCGACCCCATGGAAAAGGGTTTGCTGTCAGTTATTCAGTAACCTGTAGGAACCGTACTGTCCATGTAGGTGCATTTATTCATGCACACACCTGCACCTGCTCAGTCTGCTTCAGGTAGCTTGGTCAAGGAATTCTTCCAGAGTTCTTTTGATGTGGGGGGACTGGGACGAAGCTTGGATCAGCAGGTTCTGACCCATTTGTGCAAAAAGCGCTTTTGACAATTTAGCAGTGGCTGTCCGAATATTCCCGCCGGCTCCGGGCAAGGAGCCGCTGTTGGTCATGTTGCCCAGCAGGTGCCACAGGACCACCAAGACCTTCTGCTCCACGGCGTGAGGCTTGCGAGGATACAGCTCCACCACCAGCTCTGGATTCAGAACAACAAAAAGGGGGAGGCAGAGAGAGGGGGGGAGTAACTGGTCACACCAAAGGCTCTCTTCCCCACCTCAAGCCTTGGCCTGCTCAACCTGAGAAAGAATGCAACTGAAAGCATGCAAACTCAGAGCATCTTCTGGAAAGGCCATCAATTACCGTATTTATCATTCTATAGGACACACTTTTTCCCCTCCAAAAATGAAGGGGAAATGTGTGTACGTCCTATGGAGCGAATGCAGGCTCCTTGGCTTCAGCAAAAGCAACACAAAGCCTCCAAAGTGCAGAGGGAGTGCTCCCTCCGCGCTCCGGAGGCTTTGCGTTGCTTTCGCTGAAGCCTGGAGAGCGAGAGGGGCTGGTTTCCACTGCGCTCCGAATGCTTTGGGTTCCTTTTGCTGAAGCCGGGAGAGCAAGACTCTCCTGGCTTCAGCAGAGAGGGAGAGCTGTGCAACGCCCCTTCAGCGAAGCGGGAGGAGAAATGGAAGGGGCTCCGCTTCTCCTGCTGCTTCGCTGAAGGGGCAGAATTTTTTTTTTCTTGTTCTCCCCCTCTAAAATAAGGTGCATCTTATGGTCTGGTGCTTCCTACAGAGCGAAAAATAAGGTAAGCACACAGTGCTCCAAACAAGCTTTGTGGGGAAGGGCGCAGCTCAGCAGCAGAGCACAGGCCTTGACTTCAATCCCCAGGTAGGGTTAGGGGAGACCCCTGCTGCCAATGCGTGTAGACAGTACAGTGGTACCTCAGGTTACGTACGCTTCAGGTTACAGACTCCGCTAACCCAGAAATAGTACATCAGGTTAAGAACTTTGCTTCAGGATGAGAACAGAAATTGCGCAGCAGCGGGAGGCCCCATTAGCTAAAGTGGTGCTTCAGGTTAAGAACAGCTTCAGCTTAAGAACGGACCTCTGGAACGAATTAAGTACTTAACCCGAGGTACCACTGTACTGCCCTAGATGGACCGATGGCCTGACTCTGTGTGAGGCGGCTTCCTCAGTTCTTAAGCTTAAACTCCTGCTCTGCTTTCAGCTGTTATAATGGGATGGGACGTCAATGGGCTATTTCACGTTCGTTTTACATCCCTTAGGTTGGCAACAACCTTCCAAGCTGCCTGGCACCATCACGGACCCTGCAGAGCAGTGAAGAGTCTTGAGCAAGCAGGTCCTGCGCAGGCTCATCCTGGAAGGGCGAACTCCGGGTGCGAAGGCACGGAAGCAAAGCATGAAGAGCCTTACCTGCAAGCTTCTCCGTGATGTCTTGCTTGGCTTTCCCATTCAGAAACTGGGCCTTTGTGCAGAACGGCTGAAGCAGCAGGTAGTTGTCTAGATGCAGAGGAGGGAGGGAGACAGAAAACCAACTCAATGGGAGTCCCAGGAGAGCTACATATATCCTGTGTTTGATGCAGAATAGCCAGGAAGGGGCTATTCCCTGGCAGGGATGTGCACAGAATGAGGCCTTTGGAATCCTAAACACACACACACACACACACACACACACACACACACACATTAGAATTGGCTGGAGGCCTGCTCCAGTTTGGAAACATTCCTCCACGGCCTTGAGCGCCAGTGTGCCAACACACAATGAACAGATGCATAAACTGAGCAATGGGAAAGAGTTCTTGGTCGCTCAGCCCCAAACCTGCTGCGAATTCTTTTCCGTAACCCTGTTTTCTGAAGCGTGGCTGGCAGCTGAAAAGGTCCCGTTACCTAAGTGTTGACAAAGAGCTTG